TGAACATGGCGGAGAATGTTATGTGGAAAAACATTTTGATGTTCTTGCTAATACTGTTTGTTTATTATTTATTGGATTTTTATCCCGCCTTTGTTACTTTAGAAGTAACTCAAGTTTGCCCATCAGTTTGCAGTTTACAGCTTGCAGGCAAGTTGAAAACCCGGTTCTGATTGAAATATTACCAACTGCATATAATCAGAAAGGAAAAGGTGAGGGAGTTACTGAGAGTAATGAATGAAGGATGTATCCAGATTTTGATGTGGTATTATATGAGGCATATAACATGGACATAAACAGCTCCTGCGAGGAGGTCAATGAGAAAACCAACTAACGATCTTTGAGTTCAAGGGCGCTGTCTCAGAATTTCTGTGGCATAAGACAGTTCCTGATTTGTTCTTCCTTGGGGACAAACCTGGCTTGTTGGGGGAAATTGCTGTGAGGTGCAGGAGCTGTGGCGTTTACTAAACGTACACGTAATATGCACAACACTTCAAATATTTCAAGCTAAGTTGTTTATTAAGGCCTGTTTTTCTGGGAAGCATCACCATGATAAACAAGGATTAATGGTGTATGTCTTGTATGTTTGAAGAGTGATTCGAACCTTTCCTCTCGAAATAAATACCCTCTAAAGAGCAGTGATTTAAAAGAGATACTTCCTTCTGACGACACCTCTGCCTCTTTTCCCTTAACTGAAGAGAAAGGCGTGATGTTTGTGCTGGGTGATGCACGCAGTATCAGTTAGCAAATGCTTTTATTACTGTCCCTTAATTTTGGCTTGGAAAGCCAAGAAGAGAAGAGGACTAAGAAAGAAGAACATTTTCCCCCCATGTGACCATTTGAAGTTACAGTGGCACTGAAAAAAGGGCTGTTTTTCACACTTATGACCATTGCAGCATCCCCATGGTTATGTAATCAAAATTCGGATGTGACCCGTATTTAGGACCATTGCAATGTCCCTGGGTCACGCGATCCCCCTTTGCGACCTTCTTACAAGCAAAGTCAGTGGAAAAGCCAGAGTCACTTAATAACCATCTTACTAACTTAACACTGATTCACCGAACGTATACATGCGGCAAGGAAAGTCGTAAAATGGGGCAAAGCTCCCTTAACAACGGTCTTGCTTAACAGAGGAAAGTTTGGGCTCCGTTGTGGTGGTAGGTCGAGAATTTTATTGCAAGGTCCAATCTGGATCGGTCATCAGGACCAGAGGTTAGTTCTTTCAAGCTTTCTGACCGACCCAGATTGGATCTTGCAACATGATCCACATATATTTGCCTTCATCCGTGGCTTTTGCCCCCTTTTTCAACTTTTCTTGGCACAGTTGTGAAGGGAGTCACTGCATTGGTTAAGTTAGCAACCTAGTTGTAAAAGGAATCGGGATTTCCCATTCACTTTACTCATCAGATGGTCACAAAAACTGATCACGTGACCCCGGGACACGGCAACCGTCATGGATAGGAACCAGTTGCCAAGCACCTGAGTTTTGATCACGTGATGCTGCAATGGTTGTAGGTGTGAAAAACCTTTTTCAGTGCCGTTATAACTTCGAACGTTGTAACTAAACGAACTGTTGGAAGTTGAGGATATCTGCATTTTCCTCCCAAAAAAGAGAATTTGAAATGGGTCTTTTAAGCTGTAGGAACAGGGAGACATTCCCCCAAACACAGACAGACCCAGCAGTTTCAACACCGCAAGGAGTTGTTTACGTGGGAGAGCGTGGTTTGGCAGGGCATTTGAACTCTTCTTTTTTGTATCTGCTTAAAAAAAAAATCAAAACAAACCAATGAGTAACATCACCCCAAATAAATCGAGTGTGGATTTGGTGTATCCTTGGGTGCACCGACCTCTCTGGCGTGAAATAAAAATTTAGCCTTCCGATTCTTAATGCAGCCCGGAGGCTTTCCAGATTCCCACCCACCCCCTCCAAAATAACGAACCCCTCAAAACTGTGAACTTGATGTGGTTTGTGGCAAGGAAGTATGGATCCTCTATTTGGGTGAATTAAACCAGAAAAAGTTTGTTCCCGATCTATTTCAAACTGGTGAGCTACTTTTTTTTTAGAAGTTGCAGGGAAAACGGTTCTATTTTTTTTAAATGGGAGTGGGTTTTGCTGAAAAAAGAAATGATAAAAAGTTGATTGTCAGCATCTTTTGTGGATCTACCCCTTCTTTGCAGTCCTCATTTGATCATTTCCCTTTCTTCCTAAAAAAACTTTTGGGATCTTAAGTTATAGGCAAACAAGAAACATGCTTTGCCCCCCCCCCCCGAAATTTTGATGGAAGTGTTATTTTTAGGAATGGCTTGTGCTAAACAACGTATGTATGCCAGGTTATGATTTGATTTTTTAAAAACTTTATATGAGGCATTTATTTGCAGAAACTTCACTAGTCACATGCTCTGTTGTTTTTATTTTGGACTTGAGTGGAAATGATTTATTTATCTATTTTGTGTTAGTTTAGTTGCAAGTGTAAACAGGCTCTGGAATTGAAATATATTCGCTAAAACCCCTCAATTTAATGGACTAATGGAGGGAAGGAGGATTCCTTACAGCAGAAGGTCTGTTAAATCTAAATGAAATTTCATGCACAAATATTTTAATTATTATCTCTTCTTATTTATTTCATGCTTGCAAAAATTGTGAATGGGAGTTTATGCTTGTGAGGAAGCAGATGGTGTACAAAAACAAATTTGTCTGCCGCCTCTAATTTGAGCTAAACCGTAATTGGTTAATTTGAGGGTTTGTTGTAATACATAAACATATGAAAGTAACACAACTTATCATAGCTACGTTTTATCTACCTATTCCTGAATTTCTAATTTGAATTCCACGTGATGCAGAGGAGCTAAAACCAAATGGACCACTATTTATTTAAATAAATCAGAAAAGGCAACATTTGGAAACAACATTTTTGGGCAAGATTGTTTGGCTCATTCTCCTGATGGGATCTTCCATATTGAGGAAAAGGTTAGCAATGCTGGACTTGAATAAATATGTGCCAAATGATGAGCATTTAAATGGGGTGAGGGCAGGGGAAGAATTTATTTGACTTACAACCACTTGTTTATGACGAATAACAGAATAACCAAGTTGGAAGGGACCACTGGTTAATTGGCCTCACTGTTAGGAATTTTTCCTTTATTTCTAGGCTGCTTCTCTCCTTGATCAATTTCCAATTAGATTAGATTAGGGCGTTTCAATCTTATTAAAATATCCTAATGGTCATTAGGTCTTACAATGCATGGAAGCATTTTGGGAATGGATGTGTCAGCGTCAGAACATTTCTGGTAAGATTTGAAGCCTAATTGAAAATTTGTCATCACTGTTTTGGAGTTAGGGAAAGGTAGTTTTGTGCTGGAAACATTTATTTATGAATTTTACGCAGTTTGTGGACTTCTAGAAAACAACCAATTCCCATTTAAACGTAGCTCTGCAGCTGTGCCTTTTCCGGTTGGAGTGCTCTCTTGCCAATTGGCTAGGATGAATTTGGGAGCGATCCATCGTTCAGAAGCCCTGTCCATTTTTTATTCTTTATTTAATAAAATGCATGTAGCAACCTGTAATATTCCCTAGATATGGCGAGCAGAGCCCTTCAGAGGCATGGCTTTATTTGATATCGTTGTGTAAATGGGAAATCTCATTACCAGGCTAAATCTTAAAGTTTTGGCACTGGCAGGAGAACAGCCATCCATCTGCTTGCAAGGCTTACTGTCTGTGGAGTTACTGAAGAAATCTCTTAATAGCCTTGGAGACTTCTAATATTTACAGGCATCGAATGAGGCACATCTTGCTGGAGACTAACAAGTCTGGCGTCTGAGCAAAGAGTTCTTGTGACGCGGAGCTAATAACAGCTCACTATTCTGGCCACTTGCTCCAGATAATTCTGGAAACCCTCTTTTAGAAAGAGGACGGGGTCAGGTTATTCTCCAAAGCACCAGAAGGCAGGACAAGAAACAATAGATGGAAAATAATCAAGGAGAGACACAACCTGGAATTAAGGAGAAACTTCCTGACAGTGAGGACAATTAACCAGTGGAACTGCTTGCCTTCAGAAGTTGTAGGTGCTCCATCACTGGAGGCTTTTAAGAAGAGACTGGACAGCCACTTGTCTGGAATTGTATATGGTCTCCTGCCTGAGCAGGGGGTTGGATTAGATGATCTCCAAGGTCCCTTCCAACTTTTTGTATAATAGTAGTAGTAGTAGTAGTAAGTTGGAAGGGACTTTGGAGGTCATCTGGACATACCCAATTCCTGCAACCATTCCTCTTTGCTTGCGCCTTCTTGTTCCACTAACCATTCCTAGTTATCATTGCCTTCTCCAATGAATTGGTACACATAACATAGCCAAAGTAAATCACACGTAGTCTTATGACTTTAGCTTCTAGTGAAGTTTCTGGTTTTATGCGATTTAAACACCTCTCTGTTAGTTACCCTGGCTGTCCATTGTATACTCAATAATCCAGCACCACAGTTCAAAGCCATCAATTCTTTGATCAGTCATTCTTAGTGTAGATGTTGAGTTATTGCCATAAATATTCTGGTGAGATTTTCATAGTGTACCTTCACCGTTGTTTTCCCTAACCCTCCCCATTTATCTGGGCTTAGGACTGGACTCAACCATATGGCTAGGTTCCTTATGCATTTACACCTTGATGGGAAACCTTGATGGCAGGAGAAGCCAAATGGAAACTGATGAACTTTAGCCAACTTTAAGAGCCCTGGTGGTGCAGTGGTTGGAATGCAGTGTTGCAGGCTAACTTATGCTCGCTGAGAAGCTCAAAGTTGATTCAGCTTTCCATTCTTCCAAGATCAGTAAAATGAGGACCTGGATTGTTGGGGGCAAGATGCTGACTCTGTAAACCGCTTAGAGAGGGCTGTAAAGCACTGTGAAGTGGTATATAAGTCTAAGTGCTATTGCTAGTCATGTCAACTCTTGGTCTTTCCTCCCTTCCAATTTAAGGTGGTCTTTTCATGTCTGCTGCTCTGTTCTCTCTCTTTCCAGCCTGTCCCAGTTCCTGTGGCAAATATGCTTGTACGGACCAGAATGAATGCTGTCATCCCGAATGCTTGGGCAGCTGCACCGCCCCCAACAACAGCTCGGCCTGTGTGGCTTGTCGCAACTACCACCACGATGGCACGTGTGTTCCTACCTGCCCACTCAACACCTACAAGTTTGAGGGCTGGCGTTGCATCACCAAGGAGAACTGTTCCCGGATCCCTTCCTCGGATCTACTTGGGGAATATGAGAGCTTTGTGATCCATGAGGATGAGTGTGTACAAGAGTGCCCTCCAGGATTTGTGCGCAACGATACCCAAAGGTAATGGGGAACACTCGTGTGTACACACAGGAATAGCAAGTGTTTTTCTTTTTTCTTGCTGGTGGGCGGTGAGGAAGAGGCTGAACTCTTAACGGGGGTCTCTGAGAATGTTTCAAGCACAGGCAGTCCTCGATTTACAACCCTAATTGAGCCCCAAATTTCCATTGCTAAGCAAGATAGTTGTTAAGCGAACTTTACCCCACTTTACGACTTTTCTTGCCACCATTGTTAAGAGAATCACTGCAGTTGTGAAGTTAGTAAGTGAATCTGGCTTCCCCATTGACTTTGCTGGATGGAGTCACTGAAGCAGGAGGCGTGAGCTTAAATGGACTCCAGAAGATGGTAGAGGACAGGGAGGCCTGGAGGAACGTTGTCCATGGGGTCACGATGGGTTGGACACGACTTCGCAACCAACAACAACAAACCCCACAGATGCTGCGACAGTCATACGTGTGAAAAACAGTCATAATTCACTTTTTTTCAGTGCTTTGAAATGGTCACTAAACAAACGTCTGTAAGTCAGAGGCTATAATTTGCAGCCGTTACCTTCTGTGAAATGAACAGAGATACTAAATTGGTGAACAGTGAACTGTTGTTCCTAGGGAAATAAAAAGTTGGATGTTCTGTAAGATTCTTGTTACCAAAATTTTCATTAACCGATCAACTGAGGATTACATGTATCCAGTATATACTCACAAACTCTGAAAAAGTCGATCCTCCAACTTTTAACCAAAACACCATGAAAAACATGCCTCCTGCTAATAAGCCAATTGCAAAAATAAAAACGCACAAACATTTCAAGGCTCAGCTTATCCGCAGGTGGCCCATTTTTCATGGTGTTTTGGTTGAAAATTCGATGGTCGGCTTACTCCGGGCTGGGCTTATCTGCCAATATATCCAAGGACTGATAGTTGTTGCGTTGCAGAGATGAAATAACTGCCGAATCTGCTTTATCGGCTGCCTGATTAAGAGCCGTTGGCATTCCTGATCTGGGGGTAATTAAAAAGGAAATATTTCTCCTGCAGAGAGAATAATCCCTGCAGGGATTTTTAAATTGTTTTTAATGACCTGGACAGCATGTCTTTATTTGGGTTGAGTTGAGCTGCTGCTGACGCATGGCGTCTCTTGTTTTGTGTGAAGCTGTCCAAACACACCTCTCCATTTTTTTCCTCCTGAAGAATTTCTAGTTTACATACAGGTGCAAAAGCAATGATCTCTGCCCCCCAGCTAGAAACCAAATGTTTACCTGGAAATCTGTTTTTCTTCCGCTACTATCTGACCACTTGTGTTTTCAAGCAATTAAAAGCCCTCATAAAAAAAGGGCCGGCTGTTTATCTTATCAAAATGTTCACGGTATGAATGGAAAAAAGATGGACGGAAAACCGGGAACAATAACCAGTGTGCTTGTAAGCGTTTGTGTGTGTTTTCCTGCTCCAATCTCCCTTGATCACACACCGACGCTGCAAACCAAAGGACTAAAAAATCTTAGTTTGCATTCTCAAAGGTTTCTGGCGTGTATTAACGGCGCCTTGCGCTAAAGCATTTGAAATACGAGCTTGTAAATTCATGTAAAGCATCATGGGAGCCATGGATTACAAAGGTACCATGTGACTCAGCCGGGAATCAGCTGACAAGAATTAAACAGCTCTCATCCTTGGGGCTTGCATGCTAACAAATTTGTCAGTGCAGTGCAAAGGCAACACAAAGGGAAATCTGGCTGCGTTGTGCAATATAGAATCAGCATCACAAAGCCTTTGCTTGTCAGAAGGTTGTAAAAGGTGATCATGTGACCCGGGACACGGCAGCCCTCATAAATATAAGTCAGTTGCCAAGAGTCTGAATTTTGATCAGATGACCACGGGGATGCTCCAACGGTTGTAAGTGTGAAAAATGGCCATCATTCTCTTTTTTTCAGTGCCTTTGTAACTTTTGAACGGTCACTAAATGAACTATTGTCCGTGGAGGACTACCTATATTCTATAACGGGGGTCCCCAACCCCTGGGCCACAGCCTGTTCGAAACCAGGCTGCAGGAGAAATGAGCAAGCACACGTGCATGAAGCTTCAGTCATCTGAGTGGAGGGCACATGTGCTCGCACTCAAAGCTCTATTTTCGCGCATGGAGTTTTAGGCCCAAGCACAAGTGCCTGCCGCTCGCACGAGTGGAGCTTTGTGCACAAGTGGAATTTTGTGCATGAGTGAAGGCACTCTCTCTAAGTGCAGTGGTGGGATTCAGATATGTTGAACAACCGGTTCTCTGTATGGATGCTGCTTCCGGAAGTCCATTTTGGGCCTGGGCAACAAAAAATTAGCTACCGGTTCTGCCAAAGTGGTGTGAACCGGCTGAATCCCACCACTGTCTTAAGTGGATTACAGAGTCAGCCTCTTGCCCCCAACAATCTAGATCCTCATTTTACCAACCTCAGAAGGATGGAAGACTGATGCAAACTTGAGTTGGTCAGGATCGAACTACTGGCAGTCGGCAGAATTAGCCTGCCATACTGCATTCTAACACTGCATCATCATGGCAATAGAATAGGATAGAGTAGGATAGAATTAGCAATAGCAATAGCAATATTACTTAGACTTATATACCGCTTCACAGTGCTTTACAGCCCTCTCTAAGCGGTTTACAGTCAGCATAATCCCTGCATGCTGTATTCTAACCACCGCGCCACCGCGACTCATGGAAGGGCCATTTTTGCTCATCTCTTCCTATTCTTTCTCTTTTACCAGCATGTTTTGCAGCCCTTGTGAGGGGCCCTGCCCCAAAGTGTGTGCAGATGCCAAAACCATGACCATTGACTCCGTCACCTCGGCACAGACGCTCCAGGGATGCACCGAAATTAGAGGGAACCTTCTCATCAATATCCGCCGTGGGAGTAAGTTCACGCTTGATTGGGAGAGTGTCAATGTTGGTAAACCTGGGTTGAGTGTGACAACCCTGTTACGAGCTTCCTAATGTACACATGATGCTAGAGAAACCATGGATGGAGTTCTGTGGTGGAGCACATGGGAAGCACGTTTAAAATGCCTAGGTGATGCCTTGAGTGGACATTCTGAAATTCAGGTACTTAAATAAACAGCAGAGAAGATGAGATACATCAATGGTGCATTTCATTCTTGATAAATTGTAGTTGCCCTTTTCCATTTGACAGCTCAGTGGTTAAAATACTTTTTTTTTTAAAAGAATCCCATTTTTTTTAAAAAAAATAATAGAATAAGTATCAGCTTTGGAGAATCCTTTTCACTTGCTGTAGAAAAGACCTTGTGTTCCATATGAGAAGTTTTCCGCAGGTAATCCCAACGAATTTTCAAGATAGCATTGTAGGGAGAATCCCAGTCTGGGCTTTCAAGAGCAAACTTCACAGGAAGAAAAAGAGAAGGGGAGTTCCTGGTAGCCCTGCTAGCGTCTAGGGATTTTCTAAATTTGTATTATCTCACTCGTGTTAGGTGGCACATCGGTGGATTTAATTATTTGCCCAGTGGCAAATATTTCTCTGCAGTGTACATGATGCCCTCTTCAAACACTGGCAGCAGAGTTCCCACCTGGGTGTTTTCTCAGGGCTGACTTGGCCACGTCTAGTACATGTCTTAACAGAAAATGAGTGTTCAGTTAACGATTTGTCAAGAGTGGTGAGTCACCTTCTGGGAAAACTCCAACAGTCCTTTCTCTCTCTCTCCCTTCCTCCCTCCCCCCCCCCCAGAATGAACACAATTGCCCCAATCTGAAGAAGAAGAACACTCATTTGATTTGAAAGCTGATAACGCACCCATTTCATCAGTTAGAACCCCACAGACGCTATGGGGCTGTCTCTGGCCCTGCTTTGGGGACCACCTGTTATCTTCCCCTGCTTTAAGTCAGGCAGCCTCGTTGCTGCTCTGTATGATTCCTTCAGACATTTTAGAGTGCAACCTCCCCAATTCCCAACCTTGCAAGCCACACCACTGGCTGAGGGAAGGCTGGTCTGGGGCCTCTTACATTGACCCTTCAATCCATGGCTAAGTTAAGTCACCGTTTGCCTGAACCGAAACTTCCAGAACAACTTTCTGAGCTGAAGCACCTGCTTAAAAATGCTTGCAAAGTAGGTTAAAAAAAGCATCCTTTTTGGCTTGAGCCACTGAAATAACCTAATTTGATTTTCCTTAAGTTGGTGCTATAGCACAGTTTCTGGGAAACTTCAAAAATTCCTTAATTCCTCAAAGAACTTAGTTCTTTAAGAAACAGACTGATCCTTTTAAGAGGCTGGAAAGAATGCCTGCTCTCTGTTCAGCTGCCTGTTGTAAACATTCACCCAGGGGCTGTCCCGTTTATATGAATTTGTTCCGATTTCCCCAAAGAGGCCCCTCGGATGGCTTAATCTCGGTGAAGCTTTATTCCACTGAAAAGGATTGTATATCACAGAAGCACCGAGAGTCGGGCTGCTCACTGAGAACGCTCGGTGACTCTCTTGAACAGTTTGTTCTGAAAGCAGATGGGACTAAAATGATGGCTTGCTTATGGCATGTGTGAACAGGTACTCTGGCTTGTTCCTGTTAACACTTCTTTGTTTTGGCCTTTTGACTCCCGTCTTCGTTGGAGAAGAGCAAGGTAGAGTTCATAGAGGTAGAGTCAATGTCAGGATAGAGTACCTGGCTGGGTTCTTGAGACAGACCCATTAAGTAGGAAAAGTGCGCAGGAGGGAGCAAGCGTTAAATATGAATAATAATAAGTGTGCTCTTGACTAAGGCAGAATGCTAAATTCTGGCCCATTAGTGCATGTAAACACACCTAGTGGAAATTTTTAACTTTGAACCTAAGTTTGCTCCAATTTCTACATTATAGTTAAGTAGATCCTGCTTTTATAAGGGCTAATCTACTTCTAATTTATTAACAATGTGACTTAACAGGAAAAGGATATTACAGAATAACAAAGTTGGAAGGGACCTTGGAGGTCTTCTAGTCTAATCCCCTTCTTGAGCAGGAGACCCTATAACATTCTATGTGCGTGGTTATCCAGTCTCTTCTTGAAATCTCCAGAGATAGAGCACACAATTTCTGAAGGGAAGCCATTCCATTGATTAATTGTCCTCACTATAGCCTTGATTCTAGATTGGATCTCTTTGATAAGCTTCCATCTGTTAAATATCCATGGAGATTCTCAGTCATCCAGGTCATGCTTGTCCCAAAAGGCAACTGCACCTTCTTAATTTTTTTTCTTGAAAATGTCTAGCTTCTTATTCAAGAAGCTTCTTCAGTTGTCTTCAGAACTGAAGAAGCTTCTTGAATGAGAAGCTAAACATTTTCAAGAAAAAACTAAGTCAATCCGGTTGCCCTTTGAAATGCACCTTTGCTATTTCCATCTGTTACTTCTTGTCCTGAGTTTTCAGAGGCGTCTGAGAAGCTCCAATGTGGGAGTTGATTTGAGGTTTCCATTTGTGGAGGAGGAAAAACACCCACTTATCTTGCCTAGAATGGTCAAGCTATCTTGAGACATGAGTTGAGGTTCTCCTCAATGGGACAGTTTTGGCTAACTGTAACATGCAGTAACGTTTATATCTGTCACTGAACATCACAGGAGTTGTGGCTTCCTGAAGGCTTAGATTTACAACTGCCCAAGAGTAACTTGCCAAAACATCAGCTGTTGAAAGCTCAGAATGCGACATTGGCATTAGCAGCCAACGTTCAAGGGAACGGACGGCCATTGCACTGGCCGAAAAATTAACTAGATTAAATTGAAGTGGCATTTAGTTTGGCATCCCGGCTGCCTGACTTTCCTAGGTAAATCATACAAGGTTGTGTTACACAGCAGAGAGTTGACATTCTTAGAAGGCCTTTCTTAAGCCGATGAAGCTAATTGTGTGCAAAGAAAAATCTTGAAACTATGGAGATTTTATCACTCCTTCCCTCGGGTTTTTTTTCCCCCTCCCAGACAATATTGCCTCTGAGCTGGAGGATTTCATGGGGTTGATAGAAACGGTGACTGGATATGTGAAGATCCGGCATTCTCATGCTTTGGTGTCCTTGTCCTTTTTGAAGAACCTGCGGTATATTAATGGAGAGGAACAACTAGATGGGTAAGGATAGCCAGTTTCTACCGTAAGAAGTCATGCCATTGAACGTAACATTCTCGGAAAAAGGTTCTTGAAGTTCCTATTAAGAGTTAACAGAATAAGCATTAAAACCCTAATACAGTATTTCTCAACTTTGGGAACCTGAAGATGGATGGACTTCAATTCTGGGTCTTGAAGTCAACCAATATTCAAGTTCTCAAGGTTGAGGAACACTGCCCTAATGTATTAGCTGAAGACCACATCATGCTTTTGGAACCTTGTCCCTCTGTTCTCTCCCTCTTCAGCTTCACTGAATTGAATAACAACTCTTGAACTTCCTGTTTTTATATGTTCCGCCCCTCCTTCAAATATGGCCCTGGGTTTCAAAAAGATTCCTAGATGCATCATGAGTTACCTGCATGCAGATTGACTTGATCCATAGATTATTTCCTTTGTTGTCCTCTTGTGGATGGTTCAGCAGCCCTGCCTGGAGGCTACTGAAAATCATCTATGGAAAATTTCAATCAGAGGGTGAGCTTTGGGTTTGTTAAGAGGTCTCTGAAATGTTTTCACTTGTTACCTTGCTCAAAGCTGGATTTACCACCTTGTATTTGCTCAACTGAGCTGAAAGGATGGTGCTGTTTTTGACGGGACAAGGGGTCTTAACGTTCTCTAACACAGAATAAGCATCTAATTTCATACTGTTTTCATCATTCTCCCCCAATTCAGCGGTCTTTTGAAGTAATTGGGTTACAACACCCATCTTCTTCCCTTCCAGGGGTACTGGATCATATCATCCCATTTCAGATACCTCTGAGAAGACACAAAGGTAGAGAAAGGTGTCCTTGACTTATGATCACAAAGGAGTCCAAAATTTTTCTTGCTAAGTGAATTTTGCCCCATTTTATGACCTTCCTTGCCACAGTTGATAAGTGAATCACTGAAGGTGTTAAGTTAGTAACACGGTTATTAAATTAATCTGGCTTTCCCATTGACTTTGCGTATCAGAAGGTCGCAAAAAGGGGATCACATGGCCTCAGGACACTGCCACCGTCATAAATACAAGTCAGTTGACAAGATTCTGAATTTTGATCACATGACCATGGGTGTAAGTGTGAAAAATGGCCATAAGTCACTTTTTTCCACGGCTGTTGTAACTTTGGACAGTCACTAAATCAACTGCTGTAAGTCAAGGACTACCAGTACTTAAAAGAATTGAGCTGTATCATTTTTGGAGAACGTACAGCTGGAATCCCACTAACGGGAACAGTGTTCTGCCCTTAGTCCTAAGCCTGGGAAATTGCCACTTTCTCTGCTTTCTTTACCTCCAAATGAAATCATTCTTTTCAGATACTGGTTGCCTCAGTAGTTAATAAACAGGAATTTGGGGGGAAACTGTTTGAACAAGGCCGGGGCAAGGTCATGGGAATAGCTCTCATTGTGTCTGATTTATCTAGCCTGAAAGGATTATCTTACAGGATGAGGGTAGATTCTCAACCTCGTTTTTCCCCCACCTTCTCTGGCTGCAATTTGGTCAGCTTTGCATTCTTGAAATTCCAGAGAGTGATGGAATATGTTGTAAAGGGCAGTATTGCTTTCTTCCACCCTGGAAAGTTCCTCTTGTCTCTTAAGCATAGAAGAAATTGGAACGCTGTCATCATGTGTCCCCTGGTCCTTCTCTTCACTAGATTAGTCATGCCCAGTTCCTATGTTTTAGCCTCCAGTCTCCTAATCATCTTTGTTGCTCTTCTCTGCACTTTTTCTAGAGTCTCAACATTTTTTTTTATAGTGTGGTGACCAAAACTGGTTGCAGTATTCTAGGTGTGGACTTACTAAGGCTTTATAGAGTGGCATTAGTACCCTAACCCTAACCCCTAGTCCTTCGCTTGGATAGGTTAGACATACTTAGTTTCCTCTCTTCTTTGTGCTCTTTCTAAGGTTTTCTTTCTTTCAAACTATTTCTGCTTCTGAGAAGCTCCTGGAAAAGATGAAGCTGAAACCAACAAGGACTGGAAACTGTTAAAGGCTGAAGAAGCGCAATAACAGTTTGCAATTTACAACCTGGAGACCTATATTAGGTCTTGTTAACCTGCTGCTGAGATTCTTGGGGATGGTGTTGCTTCTGTTTAACACCTTACATGAGATATTCTGTAGCTGCCATTCTTTTTGCCAGATCTAAGTTTTTGGTCATTGTGCGAATTTTGTAAGGGTACCATAAGCAGAATGAAAAATGTGTGTGCCTTTGTTTACGTGGACTAATTTGCTTCCAAACATTTCCTTTTTAGGAATTACTCATTTTATGTGCTGGACAACCAAAACTTGCAGCAACTGTGGGACTGGAGCCATCATAACCTGACCATCAAAGAAGGGAAGATGTACTTTGCTTTTAATCCTAAATTGTGTGTTTCGGAAATTTACCAAATGGAGGAGGTTACTGGAACCAAAGATCGACAAAGTAAAGGCGACATCAATCCGAGAAACAACGGGGAAAAAGCATCCTGTACGTGAGAAGTTTAGTGAGGACATTGTGTTGGGGTGGGATAACCAGAAATGGAAGATGCTTTTTTTCTGACCTTAAATAACAGGAGGTTTGTGGTGATCCAGACTTCAGAAAATAGTCACTTGGAGGCATCTTGGTACCTGCTGGCTGGTCCTCAGCAAATTGCTCCGTTTCCTTGAGTCATACCGATTCTGGATTGTTCCTTATCCCTAATAAATAATGTTCTTCTATTTCATCCATTCCATAAAAGTTTCTGTTAAGCTAACAACTAAGAAGTCACATGAAAAACCCAAATACAAACTAAGGAGTTTAAAGGATGGAGTTTGGGATGCTGAGGAATTTTTGCTGTTGTTTCTTTTGTGTGGGTTTTCGTCACTCTTTTAATTTGCACTCCCAACATTTTACACATAGTTCTTCAATTAGTAAAATAGGTGGGAATTATTTGCAAGTCAGATGTGGGGCTCAGAAAACTAGCTTCTTTAGGAGAACCTGAAAATTCAATGCCTTTGTAGAAACAGTGTGCTCATTCAAAGCTTATAGTGCATCAGTCTGATCAATGATTGGTGAGCAGGCTATTGAAATGGTCTCTCCATATTTGGCATATAAAATAGACCTTAAGGATGTTATTTTTGTAAAGAATTCTCTCTCTCTTTTTTTATCTGTATATGGAACTGGAATCCGTTTCCCAAATACACATGTTGGTGTGTATTCACACCAAAGAGGCATCACCCACATCCATTTGTCAGCCTTGGAGATGTTACAAAAGCTTTGGCCCTCTCTCCTATGTTACCATCAGGTCTGGGCTAGGCTTCCCTTGTTTCTTTATTATTCTTACAAAAAGAAAAGGAAAAAAAAAAAGCTTATTTGCCTACATGGATTTTAAAATGTGTGCAGGATGTAAGAGGGTTGAAACATTTGGCAAACTGTTCTTTCCAAACAAAAAGCAACTGAAAAATCCAGTTGTATGCTGGATTCCCAAGCCAAGAATTAAGCTTCTCTAAAAACAAACACCCACAATCTACAAAACAAACAACTATTCAAACTTGTTTTCAATCGGATAGCTTTTGAAGATATGAAGACCAGACTTGGCTTTTGAAAATAGATTCAGCCCAATTAAAGCCAACCATGTGAACTTAGATTGGCAAATGGGCTTTACCTAAAATTGAGGAGGGGGGGGATGGATGGTTGCAGAAATGAATTGTGCATAGGTAAATTGAGTCACACATAACCTGTTTTTTCCCCTGTGGGTGTAAGAAAAAAGCTCAGAAGAACAAATACATCCTTTCAAGGTTCAAATTTTGTTACATGAAACATGTAACAAAATGTGCCATTTGTTGGATGGTGAGAAAATTTTTTTTTGCTCAAAACATTGCGAAACACTTCCTGTTGTTTAATATTTGTTTTTGGAAAATGAAATTAAAAGTGTCTCCCTGACAGTACATTTTTCATGATGTTTTTAAAAAAGAAATAACCCTTGGGATGGAGTTAAAAGAGGAATCAGCCTAGAATCCCTTCATAGCCACAAATGAACTAACTCCAACCCTCCTTGAATTCCAATTCCCTTACTCCAAGCAGGTGCTAATCACTAGTTGAGAAGATTCCTGTGCATAGGCATGAGTAGCAATAAGTCAGTTTAAACGGACCTTCACTTTTGGACCTGATACCTTGGTCTTGAAATAGTTACCTTCCCTATCGAATCTAGATCAGCCCAGCCATTTACTGCTGGGAAAGGAATTGGTCATATTCCCATGCTGCAGTCTTGTTTTATCAGAGAAGAAGGAGCAAAACCACTTTTGAGCAAAACCAAGGAACCAATATCTCTCTCTCTCCCCCTCTCCCTCTCTCTCTCCCTCTCCCTTCCCTCTCCTTCTCCTCTCTCTCTCATATGAGCATAGTAAATAAATTCCATTCCTGTGTGTTAGTGGCAATTCAGCCAAGCGTGCTGTTTTTGTGTTTCAGGTGAAAGCCACATCCTGAAATTTGTTTCCAACACTACAATGAAAAATCGGATCAAACTGACATGGGAACAGTATCGGCCTAAAGATTACAGAGATTTGATTAGCTTCACAGTCTATTACAAAGAAGCGTGAGTATTGCTACTCCACAGCCAAAGTGAGCCTGTGTGGGTTTGGGGTTTTTTTAGCAATGTTTACCAACCTTTGCAGCTTCCAGAGGTACTGTATAGACCACATACCAGAATTTTCAGAAATCAGCCTGCAAGATGGAGTATTTGGGGAGTTGCAATCTACACATTGGAAGTTGTGAGCAGAATACTTTCCATCCTTCTGAGGTGGATAAAATGACCCAGATTGTTGGAGGCAATATGCTGACATTGTAAACTGCCCAGAGAGTGCTGTAAAGCACTATGGGTCTGTGTATATTGCTATTTCACACCATAGGAATGATGGGAAATTCCCTTCACTTTTCAGCAACTCTGATCAGAATAGTATGAGAGCCGTTTTATCAGACGGACACGTCCTAGCTCCCTTGCTTGTCCATTTCAGAGCCTTCAAGAACGTGACGGAATATGACGGGCAGGACGCTTGTGGTTCTAATAGCTGGAACATGGTTGACGTGGACTTGCCTTCAAATAAAGAGGACAATCCAGGGATTTTACTGCAGCCGCTGAAACCATGGACCCAATATGCAATTTATGTCAAAGCTGTCATGCTCACTATGATGGAGAACTACCACCCTCACGGAGCAAAGAGTGAGATTGTCTACATCCGCACTAAAGCTGCAGGTAAGAAGTCATTAGAGTGGGTGAAGACAAAATACTAAATGAATTGCGTTTCTGTCTGGTGGCATTGATTGGGCAAGGAGGACTCTTGCATTTGGAAAAGTGATTCATGATGTCTTCTATGAAATTTAAACTAGTCATAAATCTAAGTATTTTGGCATAATTAGTTTTTTGGCTACAAGCAAAGATACTAGGATATAAATCTGCTTTCTTCCTAGGAAGTCCTGGTGGGACGTTCTTAATAAATCTGTGCAGTAGCTTCAATTTGTAGCTTGGCATCTTCTATTGGGATGGGAAACGTTGCACAGATTTTCCAGCAGATGGCCAAAAAACGCAGTTAGTTTGCAGTGTATCATTCATCCAAGCTTTCTGTAATTCAAAAATTCAGAGTTTGGAAGAAAAATGTAGTGATAGATGTAAAAAAAAAAAAAGAGGAAAAAATTTTAACTGTTGAGTTTATAGAAACATTTGCAAGAATATCATGGTTTATCAGTCTGAATGATGAATGCTATTAAAATTGAAGTGACTCCAGAATCTGGTAGTACTGAAGGGGCAGACAGAAAACTCCAAAGACTTTGCACGTTTTGGGGTTCTTCTCTTGTGAATCCTCTCGATCGATGAGGATTCAGTGGCAGTTTGCAGGCTCCATCAGTTTGTATTTGCAAACTGATAAGTGGATAAGAGTCCCCATGATTCAAAAAAGAAAGAAAGAGAGAGAGAGAGGGAGGGAGGGGGGAGAGAGAGAGGGGGAGGGAGGGAGAGAGAGAGAGAGAGAGAGAGAGATCCTGGAAAATGTGCAGGAAAGAGCAACAAAGATGACGGGTCTTAAAGCTAAACCGTAAGATGAATTTTTAAGTGAACTAGCTATGTCTAGCCTATGAAAAAGAAAGATTGGGTGACATGATAGCAGTCTTCTAGTACTTGAGGAGCTGTCACAGAGAAGAGGGAGTCAAGTTCTTTAATGAAAAGAAGGAGTAGGGGTGATCGTGATAGCAGTGTTCCAATATCTCAGGGGCTGCCACAAAGAAGAGGGAGTCAAGCTGTTCTCCAAAGCACCTGAAGATTGGACAATGGATGGAAACTAATCAAGGATAGAAGCAACCTAGGAGAATTTTTCTGGCAGTTAGAACAATGAATCAGTGGAACAGTTTGGCTCCAGAGGTTGTGGGTGCTCCCAACACTTGCGGTTTTCAAGAAGAGATTGGACAACAATTTGTCTGAAATGTATGGGGTTTCCTACTTGTAGTTTCTTTGGACTAGGTCCCTTCCAACCGTGTTATTCCGTTATTCAATTTACTCTCCAAAGCACCTGAGGACAGGACAAGAACTAAGGAGAAATTTCCTGATGGTGAAAGCAATTAATCAGTGGAACAGCTTGCCTCCTGGGGTTGTGAGTACTCCATCATTGGAGGCTTGCAAAAATAGACTGGATGACCATTTGCCTGGGCTGCCATAAGGTCTCCTGCCTGGAGCAGGGGGTTGAATTAGAAGACCTCCAAGATCCCTTCTAGCCTAATGATTCTATGACCTGTTCCTCTTGGAGTCATCCATACTGAACTTGGAGAGTCTTTTGTTCCCCCCTTTGTTGAAGGGGGGAAATCGGAGGGCGTACTCACCATCATATGGAATTGATTTTCAGTGGCAAAGGGTTTTAATGGATGAATAGTTGTTCTTGGCACGCGTCCTTTTCAGTTTGCTTACTTGGGATCTCTGTTTCTTGTTAGCATATCAAAAAAAAAACGTCCAAAGTTGGTGGCTGGTGGTAGTCTACTTCTGCCTGCCAGAATTTAATTGCATCCAAAGTTGGGCGCTGTGGAGAGGTGATAATTGTCCGATTAATCAAGCCAAGGAAATATCCAACAGCATTTAATCATCTTGAATGAAGTTCTTTCTGAGGGTGGGAATAATATTTATTTATTGGCTGAAGGTCATTCATGTGCCACCTCATTGGCAAACTCTTAGGCGACTTAGATTATAATATCTGCCTTGGTGACAGACTTATAGATGTTTATCCATCTAAGCTGAGCCAAGGAGGCCAGTTGGAATGGGATATGTAAAATTGGGCTTGTATTGAGTGTTTCTGGAAAAACAATGGCGTGTATTAATGCTAAAATGTTCAGGCTTGCTGCAATACGTTGGAGTTGGGTGTAGCATTGGCCAAAATAGAAATAAAGAACGAATTTTGTAAAATCAAAAAGTAGAAAGTGCTTCTCTTGTGCACTGAGTTTGTATTTTCTGATCATAATTTAAGGTAGTAAAAGGTAAACATTTATTTTTCTTGGGTATCTCTCGTTGCTGTTCAACTTCACTGACAATGATTTGAGTGTTGTAAAAAAATGTAGATTTCGAGTCTGCTAATTTATCCCTTTGGGTACTAGGTGATTTTAGCAAGCTAATTGATGTAGTCCTGATGCCATGGGCTGCGGCTTTGAAACACGCTGGCTGAGGAATTCTGGGCATTGATGTCCACAAATCTTAAGTTGTCATGTTTGGAGATCCCTGCTTTAAACCATCATAACTGAAAAGTTCAAGAACTCAGCTTCTTCTCCTGCCCCTGCAGGACACTTATTTACATTTGATTTCTAATTTCCAATTAAACTCACACGGGCCAGACAGGGACAGCCAAGGACTGGATATGGCTTGGAGACCAAATGCCCAGGTGTTTTTTTTTGGGGGGGGGGATGTGTTTGAGGGTATCACCAGAATGGAATGAAAGAGTATGCTGTGGACTGCAAATAGAATTTTATTTATTGATGGACTTCAGTTAATTATAAGCTCTTGGGAAAAACACATTGAAAGGTTCATCGTTGACTTACTTTCCTTCTAGTGCCATCCATACCTCTGGATGTCATCTCAGCATCCAACTCCTCCTCACAGCTGATTGTGAAATGGAACCCTCCCACTTACCCCAACGGCAATCTGTCCTACTATATTGTGAGGTGGCAACAGCAGCCTCAGGATAGTTACCTGTATAGGCACAACTACTGCTCCAAAGGTAAGACCAACACGGAGACATACCTGTGCACTTTGAGGTAACTTTTCCTCATCGTACCAGCTTCCTAAATTCATGGAGATCATCTCTTCCAGTCTGGAACCCTCAGGAGATCTTGGGTGGCAACTCATCTGCAGGGCCCTAAGTTAGGGAAAGGTGATACGGGGTCTCTTCAACGTTCAACAGCAACTCCTCAAAACTTAACTGGCGCATGAAAGCCCTACAAATGGATGGTGCTATATTTGAATGTTTCCTCATGTTGAAGATAAAACATAAAGCATCTTTGTTATTGAAAGCAACAAAAAAGGTTGAACTAGCTCAGTGTTTCTCAACCTTGACAATTTTAAGGCATGTGGACTTCAACTCCCAGAATTCCACAGCCAGCATTGCTGGCTGTGGAATTCTGGGAGTTGAAGTCCACATGCCTTAAAATTGTCAAGGTTGAGAAACACTGAACTAGCTCAATTTTCTGTTTAGCTTGAAGGTCAGACTTCCTGTTCAGATGGCCATATAACAACAAGGGACACATATATGTGTCCCTGTACAGGTAGTCCGTGACTTAACAACAGTTCATTTAGTGACCGTTGAAAGTCATTACGGCACTGAAAAAAGTGACAGGGCCATTTTTCACACTTACTCCCCTTGCAGCATCCCCACGGTTTCATGATCAAAATTCAGATGCTTGGCAGCTGACTCGTATTTATGACGGTCGCAGTGTCCCAGGGTCATCTGATCCCCTTTCACAACCTTCTGAAAAGCAAAATCAGTGAGGGAGCCAGATTCACTTAACAACCGTGTTACTAACTCCTCCTCCTCCTCCTCCTCCTCCTCCTCCTCCTCCTCCTCCTCCTCCTCCTCCTCCTCCTCCTCCTCCTCCTCCTCCTCCTCTCTTTTGCCTTCCAAGATAAAGTCCCGATCCGGAGATACGCGGATGGGACCATAGACACGGAAGAAGCCACAGAACCCACCAAGCCTGAAGGGTCTGGCAGTGAGAAAGGCCCTTGCTGTAAATGCCCAAAGACTGAAGCAGAGAAGCAGGCCGAAAAGGAGGAAGCGGAATACCGGAAGGTCTTTGAGAATTTCCTCCACAACGCCATCTTTTTGCCCAGGTGAGTTGCCAGCATGCCTTCCGCAAGCGAATGGGATTCAGATTGATGGCATTTATTTCTTGGAATAAAGTCCTTCTGCTTTACTGGTTGTAATTCTCACATGCCATGATGAGAATAAAAGGGTCTATCAGGATTTGGCAAAGACCTCCCCAGCTATGAGTGGGGTGATGAGCCCTTGAAGGTGAGTTTGAGCATCGGGATGTTTATCTGCTGAATTTAACCCTTTCTGTGACACTTAAGCACAGTTTCCTTCGCCCCTCCCTCCCTCCCTCCCTCCTTCCTTCTGCCTTGGAGTGAAGATGTGAGAGATTAAAGCCTGGTTGTTAAAAGGGTTTTGTTGTTGTTTGTCCAGACCTGATCGGAAGAGGAGGGATTTGTTCCGAGTTGCAAACACAACGTTTGCCGGTAAGAACAGGACTGGGATCGTTCCAGAACCCTTGAGCAATGGGACCGATCTGGAGGAAGGTGAGATGGAGTTTCCCTTCTACGAAGCGAAAGTGGAGGGCAAGGAACGGACCCTCATCTCCCAGCTCCTGCCTTTCACCCTTTATCGGATTGACATCCACAGTTGCAATCACGAAGCAGCACGCCTGGGCTGCAGCGCTTCAAATTTTTTCTTCGCCCGGACGATGCCTGCAGGTACAGTCTCCCGCCTTTTATTTAGTGCATGTGTAGCTTAAGAAAGCATCATGGTCCAATCCGGCACATAAACTCCCTCTTAGTTTGATCCTAGAAGTAGGGTAGATGAAGGAGAGGGCTGCAATGTCATTTAAGCCAGGCTTTCTGTTGATTGACATCTTGTAGGGGGTGGGGCTAGGATACATTCAGCATGTTATTTCATAAAATTTAATATTATTGGTAAGAACACTCTGCAGGAATTTAATCGTTTTCCTTCTTCCGTCACATTAAACATTTCACTTTGTCAGTAACTTTTGAAAGGATTGTAGCATGCAACCCTCTGATTGCAGATTGTATAGGTAGGATTAGGAGAATAAGGGCTTCAGTAAACAGCTGAAGAGCTAAGCGCTGAGAGCTACTGTATGGTTCCTTGAAACCACTTTGATGTAATGGTATATGATAATGGCTATCATATTGATGTATTCCTGTTCTATACCTTTTCATTGTTTATTTTATTCTCTTATTTTACTTCAGTTTACACTCTTTCATTTCTTCCTTTTTATTGCCATACGCTGTCTAAACTTTCTGTTTTTTTAAAAAAACTTCCTCTTTTGGGCAAATATATAACTTCCGGGTCAAATTGGTTCAAAGCTATGCCATCTTAGATTACAGCTCTGGTTTTGAGTTCATTAAAATAGCTAGCTTGGTCTAGTGGTTAAAGCTCCGGGCTACACATCAGGAGACAGTGAGTTCAAGTCCCACCTTAGTCATAAAAGCCAGCTGGGTGATCTTGGGCCAGTCAGTCTCTCTCCGCCCACCCCACCCCACCAGGTTGTTGTTATGGGGAAAATAGGGGCAAGGAAGATGGATATGTTCACTATCTTGGGTTGTTGGTTATAATACAGGTAGGATACAAATAAATGAGTCCTCTTTTGTGCTCGCTTTCCACAGAAGGGGCTGATAACATTCCAGGAAGTGTAACCTGGGAAGGGAAGGAGGAAAACACCATATTCCTGAAATGGCCCGAGCCGGGTAACCCCAATGGGTTGGTTTTGATGTATGAGATCAAATATGGACAAAATGGAGAGGTAAGAAGATCAATGACTTTGTTGGTATTTTCAGTAGTCCTCGACTTACAACCAGTCCTTTAGCGACTGTTCAAAGTGAGAACAGCACTGAAAAAAGGGACTTAGAAACAGTCCTCACACTTAACAGCCATTGTAGCATCCCCATGGTCATGTGATCAAAATTTGGGCAGTTGGCAACTGGCCTGTATTTACGAGGGTTGTTGTGTCCTGGGGGTTATGGCATCACCATTCATGAGCTTCCCAGCTGACTTCCAACACACAAAGTCAATGCGGGAAGCCAGGTGGTTCACTTAACTGAGTGCATCATTTAGCAACCATAGCAAAAGAGGTCACAAAATAAGGCACGGCTCCCTTGACAACTGCTTTGCTTAATAAGGGAAATTTGGCTTCCAATTGTAGTCATACGTTGAGGACTGCCTATATTTGATTACATTTCTAAACCGTGAATTAAAGTACACAGGTTCAAACATCCTGAATGCTTATATCACAGCCAGGCACGGAATCTTTACAGAGAATATTGCCCCAAGCAATGTAATATCAGATATCCAGATAAGATCTTAACCCAGAGATGGGTCTTGCAACAAAGGTTGAGAACACAACACAGTAAATGGCTCACGTTTCAAGAAAAGACGCTGGAAAGATTAAGCTAGAAGGAGGGTTATTGGCTGGTTGTGACCATTTGCAGAATAAAGCGCTGTTAACAAGCTCTTCCTGGTGATTATCATGCTATGCTGGGTTTTTAAAAGTAAGATGGTCTGTCATCTAATTGCATTACTCTGAGTCCCCATTAAGGCAATGTTTCTCAACATTTGTAAATTCCAGGGCTTCAGATCTCAGAATTTCACAGCCATGATGGCTGTCAGTGAGAATTGTGGGACTTGAAGTCTATACCCCTGAAAGTTACCAAAATTAATGAAATGCTGGACCAAGGCCTAAATGTTGGGGTGGGGGGGGGAACTGGCTTTCCTTCGCGTGTGAAGTCATTTGTTAAGACATCACATTATATACCAATCAGGCCACTAAGATTTATTCAGTCTTCGTTTAGTGCTATTTTGGAACCCAGCAACTGATAAAGGAGAATATTTGTTTACTCAGGGTTAAAATGAGGGGTCCTTGGTGCTTCCTGAGGTTGGTTGTTTTCGGGCGGATGTTTCATTACCCAACTAGGTAACATCATCAGCGCTAGTAAGGAGTGGGATTCTCCGTTTCTATTCTAGTGGCCTGCCCTATCAGGTTTGGAGGTTCTTTGGTTGGGCTGTTTACTGTCAGCTTGTTTTGCAGTTTCTTGATTGGGGTATTGTTCACTTCTTGATTGTTGATCTGATGTTAATCTTAGTATTAATCTATGCTCATCTGCAACCTCCAAGACTACTGCCACCAGTACTGACATGAAAAGGCACAACAATATATACAAATTGAAAACAAACCCCACTCCTTACCAGCGCACTGATGATGTTACCTAGTTTGGGTCACAAAACATCTGCAAGAAAACAACCAAGCTCAGAGAGCACCAAGGACCCAACAACTGTTACTGTTTTGTGTAGTTGTTTGTGAGTGCAGGTTTAATTCACATTTGTTATTTTGATAATTAAAATCTATACAAGGAAATCAAGGTCAAGGATGGTGGGCTGGCCCATGCCCCAAAGCCATTGTGATAAGTAAGGCTAGTTCTCAACTTACGACCGGTTGCTTAGCAACCAAAGCTCCAACAGACCTACCTGGAGGGTGCTTGAAACCCAATTCAAAATTCCCACAGTCGGGTTCTCCCACCATCACGTGACCAAGCTTCAGGCACTCCACAACGAGGCCAGGGATGATGGGCATTGTAATTCTACCACGCAGAGAGACCCGCATTGGGGAACGAATCATTTTCTGATTTGGTACGGCTGTTTCCTGAGCTTTTGGTGAAGTCACTTGATGGAACTGTGCCATTTCAGGAAAACAAAGCAAGCAGAAAATCAGGTTTTTCTTTTTTTCACTGTCAAAACTAAATCTTAAGAAGAGCATTTGTACAATGTTCTCTTTTGTTCTTTGGACATCTGTTTAAATCAAACTGGATAACCTCATGAAGGATTGGGTGTAGCTTTTAGCAAGTTTTCTGTATTGTGAGTGAGCATAACACATATTTCCTTGCAAAACTTTTTACAAGATTGCTCAGGTTTTGTGCATTTGAGGAGGAAAAACAACAAATGAAGACTCTGTCAACAGGTAGTCCTCAACTTACAACAGTTGACCATTCGAAGTTACAACGGCACTGAAAAAGGTGACTTATGACCATTTTTCACCCTTACGACCATTGCAGCATCCTCCACAGTTATATGATCAAAATTCGGACGCTTGGCAACTGACTCCTATTTATGACGGTCTGCAGTGTCCCTGGGTCACGTGATCCCCTTTTGCAACCTTCTGACGAGCAAAGTCCATGGGGAAGCCAGATTCACTTCACAACCGTGTTACTAATTTAACAATTGCAGTGATTCACTTAACAAATGTGGCAAGAAAAGTTGTAAAATGAGGCAAAACTCACTTAACAAATTTCTCACTTAGCAACATAAATGTTGGGCTCAGTTATGGTGGTAGGTTGAGGACTACCTGTACTTAATGTGTTTCCTCTTGTGTAATGCTTCTGTTACTCATTTATTTGTTTGCAGGGGGGATTCAAGGCTGTAATAAATAAATTTGAGATTGAAACACGTGAAGGAGAAAGGAAAACCATCTGCCACAGTAGTTGGAGAAGATTCCAGAGAAACCTTAAATCCTTCATTATTGTCTTGTCTTGCAAAAGATAGACGAATAAAGAAATAATTTAGCCATTTCTCTTCTCCATTTTCACCCAACTTTGCAGGAAAAACGGGAATGCGTTTCCAGGCAAGAATATAAGAAACTTGGTGGAGCCAAGCTGACTCACTTGAACCCGGGGAATTACACGGTTAGAGTGCAGGCCACTTCGCTAGCTGGGAACGGATCCTGGACGGAGCCAATCTCGTTCTACGTCCAACCCAAACGTAAGCTTTTTTGGGTACCTTGGAAGAGAAAAACAGATTTAGGAGAAGTGATCTTAATTAAATAGGATGAACTGAGTATGTCTAGTCCAGGGGTAGGCAACCTTGGCTGGCTCAGGAATTCTGGGAGTTGAAGTCCACGAGTCATAAAAGAGCCAAGGTTGCCTACCCCTGGTTTTGTCTAATGAAGAGAAGGTCTTGGGGTGAGATGATAGCCGTCTTCCAATATTTGAGGGGTACAAAGAAGAGGGAGCCAACCTATTCTCCAGAACATCTGAAGGTAAGACACGAAGCAACGGATGGAAACTAACCAAGGATAGAAGCAACCTAGAACTAAGGAGAAACTTCCTAATAATGAGGACAATTAACCAGTGGAACAGCTTGCCTCCAGAAGTTGTGGGTCCTCCATCACTGGAGGTTTTGAAGAAAAGATTAGAAAATGATTTGTCAGGAATTGTATAGGGTCTCCTGCTTGAGTAGGGGGTTGGACTAGAAGACCTTCAAGTTTCCTTCCAACCCTACTATTCTATTTTCTATAATCCCACCCCTATTATTTCATATATTTATTAGATATCAGCTGTTTTAATGGGACTCTTTGGAGCTTGATCATCCAGTCAGAATTGCTTAGAATAATATATGTAGATGTATGGTAGTTTGTTAAATGAGTCATGCCCAGTTTGGCAACCTTTTTTTGCCACTGTTGTTAAGCAGAACATTGCTGCTGTTAAGCGAATCACATGGTTGTTAAGCGAGGCTGGCTTCCCCTGTTGATTGTCCTTGTCGGAAGCCAGCTGGGAAGGTCCCAGATGGCCATCGCGTGAGCCCAAGATGCAGCAACCGTCATCATATCCATGCCAGTTGCCAGGAGCCCAAATTTCGATCACGTGACCATGGGGATGCTGCAGTGGTTGCAAGTGTGTTTGTGTTGGTGCATGCTTTTAAATGCCGGCTATTCTTTGTTGCAGCAGCAGACTATGGAAACTTCCTGCATCTGATCATCGTGCTCCCCATTGCAGTCCTGCTAATCATCGGTGGGCTGTTGATCATGCTTTACGTCTGCAACAAGAAGAGGTGAGAATGGCAGATGGGTGGGTGGATCGTGGGGGGGGGGCCTTGCAATGCAAGGTTTAGCACAGACCAAAGACCCAACAGGAGCTGCTTTTAACCTGACCTCGATTTGGGATCGCAGAGAAAAAGAATTCTTACGAAACACTTTATGGTTATATAATCTCTCTCTCTCTCTCTCTCTCTCTCTCTCTCTCTCTCTCTCTCTCTCTCTCTCTCTCTCTCTCTCTCTCTCTCTCTCTCCTTCTCTCTCCCCCCCCTCTCTCCATGTCTCTCCAAGGAAATTCCAGGAAATCCCAAGAAATGAAATAAATAATTCTGACAAACATAGGCAATATCAAGGATTCCCAAAGTATTAACACTCTCTTCCTATCCTTCCTCCTCCTCGTTTTAGCAACCTACACGTTTCTTTCCAACTTTTCTTTGTTTCATTACTTGGCATAAACACAAGGAACAAGGGCAGGTTTCAGGGTATCTTGAATTGGGTCTAGTGCAGGGGTAGGCAACCTTGGTTCTTTTATGACTCGTGGACTTCAACTCCCAGAATTCCTGAGCCAGCCATGCTGAGGGGAAAGGGAGAGGTTTCCAAGCTGAGCCATGCTGGCTCAGGAATTCTGGGAGTTGAAGTCCACAAGTCATAAAAGAGCCAAGGTTGCCTACCCCTGGTCTAGGACAACTCACCCACTCGCTTTGGGACAATATTTACAATAACAACACTGAAGAAATGGTGGAATAGAATCATCAAAGAAAGGATGCAAAAGGAGGGACAAGTGAAATGTGAATGACAACGATTAAAATATTTTTTAAATTATCTTAAATAATTAAATGGTTGAATTGTCCCACAGTGAGTTGTCCTGTAATGAGTTTTCTTGCAACAAGTTGGCTGTGGCAAGTTGTCCCATTCCTGATCTTGTATCGTTCATCCTTCCTTCACTGAGATGGAATACAATTTTCCAAAAAGTGGTCACTTTCTCCCGTTATGTATTGAAGATTTCTTTCAAAGGTTCTGGATGGGGAGTAGTTACAGGTAAACTTTGACTTATGACCGGTCGCTTAGTGACCATTTGAAGTTATGACAGGTCCCCCAAAATGTATTTACAACCCAGATTCAAACTTTTGAGAATGAGGGCAAGGAAGAAAAGGGACTTCAGTTGTTCTCACAGAGGCCCGTGTGAAAAGCTACATTTTTGCCACTCCTGATACCAATTTTTGGAAATAAATATCACCTGAAAATGCAAATTTAAGGGATCTACCCTTGCATAAGACGTAGGAAGTTACGCATCGGATTCCTTGCACCTCCGTGTGGCATGCTAAAAATAATTAGTGGAGTGTGTGTGTGGGCGTTTTAACAGCAAGTCTCAGAACAGAGCGTCAGGTGAGAGGCCCAAAACTGTGAAGATTCTGTCCTTTTTGGGGAGAGATGGGTATCAATGTGAAGAAGTAACGGTTTATATTTTAACAGGAACAGTGACAGGCTTGGAAATGGAGTGCTGTATGCTTCTGTGAATCCGGAATATTTCAGCGCTTCGGATGGTAAGTTAGCTTTTGACGCTCTTCAGAAGCAAAGTCTTGGAACTGGGTGAATGGAGTTTTGCAGAAGAGAAGGGAAACGTTGCTCAAGATGAAATAATCTTCTCCTCCTCTTCCATCACCTCCTCCTCCTCCCGCTGCTCCCTTGGCCCTTCTTTCCATCTTTCCTCCTCCTCCTTCCCCCCCCCCAGATCCTTAGATTGATTCAAGGTTGTTAAATGGGGCAAAATTCACTTAACAAATGTTTTGCTGAGCAACAGACATTTTAGGCTCAATTGTGGTTGTAAGTTGAAGACTACCATGTACATGATTGGTTTGGGTTTGTTGTAGACTCAGTATGTTGTGTAAATGTAGCTATTGTGACTAAACAAACACAGTTCAGTGTAACATGTCAACATAGTCACTTTATATTCTTGGATTTCATCTGTTCCTAACCTTACAACTTAGGGGCAGGTTTACAACAGGATGGAACCACACAATGGTTTCAAAGCATTTGTGCTTGAATGTAAACATTGGAAGAGTATAAATTGGAAGAATGTAAACATTGGCTTTTATAGTTATATTATTCCAGGAAAGGAAACTTCCCTGTCGCGAAGGCTGTCAACTTGAACTGTGGCTTTCATATCAGTATACAATAACAACGTTGGAAGGGACCTTTAGAGGTCTTTTAGTTCAGCCCTCTGCTTGAGCAGGAAACATCTTTTTTGTATTGTGGCAACCAAAACTGGAGTATGATCTTACCAGTAAAGTATAAAATGGTATTATAACTTCACATTATCTTGATGCTGTCTTTCTGTTGACGCAACCCGGACTGCATTGGCTTTTTTGGCAGCTGCAGCACACAGCTGGCTCATACTTAAGTGGTCGTCCATTAGGATACCTGGATCCTTCTCACAGTTACTACTCTTGAGCCATGTGCCACCTATTCTACACCTGTGCTTTTGGTCCCTATCTAAGTGTAGGACTTTATGTTCCAACCACTGAACTGCATTTTGGGGGATGTGGCCCAGTGTTCAAGTCTATCCAGATCCTTCCGGTTGCTTAGAACACTTATCTTCTAAAGTGTTGCCTGTTTCTCCCCAGCTTGGTGTCATCTGCAGATTTGGTGAGCTCCCCTTCTCTCCCCTCCTCATACACCATAACATTTTCATAAAATTCTTTGTGATTTTGCAGTCTATGTACCCGATGAATGGGAAGTGCCCAGAGAAAAGATTACGATGTGTCGGGAACTCGGGCAAGGCTCCTTCGGCATGGTCTACGAGGGAGTAGCCAAGGGGGTTGTAAAAGACGAGCCAGAAACCAGGGTGGCCATCAAGACAGTCAACGAATCGGCAAGCATGAGAGAGCGGATCGAGTTTCTGAACGAAGCTTCGGTGATGAAGGAGTTCAACTGCCATCACGTTGTAAGTGACCGAACTGTGCAAAGCTTTGTTGATTTCTGACATCTTCCCATCTTCCCAGACTTAACGAGTAAATCACAAATAGTCATCACTTACCAGCCATCTTTTCAGTGACTGTTTGGTACTGAGGACCAGTCCTCAAAGTCCCAGCACAGTCGTGTGATTGCCATCTGGCTATTGGACTTGATGGCCACCTCACTTAGCAACAGAAATTCCAATGCCAATTGCAGGCAGTCCTCAACTTACAACAGTTCATTTAGTGACCGTTCGAATTTACAACAGCACTAAGAAAAGTGTCTTAGGACCATTTTTCACACTTATAACCATTGCAGCCTCCTGCATTCAACAATCAGGATCACACATTTGATTGCTCGTGCCTATACATAAGAGTCTAGTCCAGCGGTTCTCAACGTTTATGTGACGGTGACCCCGTCACACAAACGTTATGCGCATGCGCGGCATGGCGCGCATGGGGGCAGGGCCCCCGTGCGCGGCGCACATGGGGGCGGCGCCCCTGCGCGCGGCACGCATGCGCGGTGGCGCCCCCGGAGACGCGGCGCCACCCCCACGTGCGGCACGCGTGCGCGGCACCGCCCCCCCGGAGGCGCAGCGCGCCCCCGGAGGGGACAAAATGGCGGATCGCTGCCTTTGGCGACCCCCGAAAAGAGGTCGATTGACCCCAAATGGGGTCGCGACCCATAGGTTGAGAACTGCTGGTCTAGTCAGTCAACGGTCAGCACTAAATTGGCACTAGATAAAAGTTAATAGAATTCAAGAAGGATGGGACTTAGAACGCTTGTGGGAACGTAACGACTTTAGGCTGATTCCTCTCTTGACTCCCTCACCAGGCTCTGCCTGTCCTTCTCCTCCGAAGTATATAATTTACCTATTTCTTTTGACAGGTTCGGCTTCTTGGAGTTGTCTCTCAAGGTCAACCCACCCTGGTCATCATGGAACTCATGACGCGAGGAGATTTGAAGAGTTACCTACGGTCTCTTCGCCCAGACACGGAAGTATGTTTGTGGTGGGGGGGGGGGAAATCTGCTGCGTGAGAAGAAGATAGCCTTTGAGAACCATCTTATTTCTATTGGGGGGGGTCAATCTGGGTCATCAGTTGTTGTTTTCACAGAGTAGTTGAGATCTTGGCAGCCTCAGGGTTGATTTGCAATCCTTATTTACTGATTGAATAAGAAGGATAGATTGAATCCTGCATGGATGCATATCCTTACCTACAGAGAGTCCTCAACTTACGACCCCAATTGAGCCCAAAATTTCTGTCGCTAAGTGAGACATTTTTGCTAAGTGAGTTTTGCCCCATTTTGCGACCTTTCTCGCCACAGTGGTTAAGTGAATCACTGCAAGTTATCAAATTAGTAACCTGGTTTGTTAAGTGAATCTGGCTTCCCGATTGACGTTGCTTGTCAGACGGTCGCAAAAGGGGATCACATGACCTCCCCCCCTGGGGACACTGCAATTGTCATAAATACGAATCAGTTGCCATGCCTCTGAACTTTGATCACATGGAGATGCTACAGTGGTCATAAGTGTGGGAAAACGTTCATAAGTCATTTTTTTCAGTGCTCTTGTAACTTTGAGCTAAATGGACTGTTGTAAGTTGAGGACTACCAGTATTTATTAATTCCTGGAGAATCTCCTGTCAAGCTATGGGTTTTTCAATTACAAACATGCTAATGCATTGCTGATTTTGCAAGTATCTTTCTTTATTTTTCTTTTAAAGATTTGGGCACTTGGCTTATCACGTATTACTAGACAAATGTTAAAAGTCTAAAATAGAATAAATAAATAGCAAAAATAGGGACACCGTTCAGTTATATTCCTGCAACCTTTTAGGATCACAAAACACATGCTAGGACCACAGTTATAAAAATTGCTGTATTTTTTTCATGTAGATCCTAGGGGATGTGACATGTAGGTATTTTAAACATTCTTAGATCCTTTCTGAATTTCTCTCTCTCTTTCTCTCTTTCTCCCTCTCTCCCTCCCTCCCCCCCCTCTCTCTCTATATATATATTCACAAATAAAGTGAGAATTTTAGGAGCCAAAATGCACCCCCCCCAAAATTAGATTCTGTGTTGCTACAGCTAAAACAATCCTATTCTGCTATAAATTTGGTTTAAGCAAGACACCACTTTTTCCTTAATTATTTATGTCAAGGTAGGAGCATGTATGAAGAAGAAAAAAGGCTATTTCTTGTGCAGTGATGCTCAATATTCGAACAGCAAGAAGCATTCCCTTCATTCACAGGAACTTTTTTCATCCCTGTTTTTATAAATAATAAAACAACAATCCTCTAGCCCTTTTGCCCACCTAACTGTAAATAGCTGCACACGCCTTCCTTTGTCCCTGCTGCTAAATCAGCTGGCACGGCTTTCGCCCTTTACTCTTGACTCTGAATAAGACAGGATGATTGTTTAGTGTAAAACAGTCCTGCTAATTGCTCATGACTCTCAGTACGACAGCCGCCGTTCCCTTTCGCTCTTGCCTTGAATTATGAATGAGTTTTTGCAACAAACACTAATATTTAGTCATGCGGTTGACATTTAATACTCACGCTGGCAACAGAAGATCAGTAGCCACCCTTGTGTGTGTTCTCACAAGTTCCAAGTTAGGCAGGAGAAAGGGGGAGGGAGAGAGTCCTCAAGAACCAAATAAAAGCAGAATTAGGGCTGGCAAAGCTGGTTGAGTTCTTCCCTTCTTTCCGGCCCTTCCCGCCTTTGTGGATGGCTTCTGTTGTAAATAATTCATGTGGAGATAGTAGAAGCATCTGGTGTGTTTGTGAAGATGAAAGTGTGACTGTAAACCAAACAGTGTTCCTTGAGATGAGATACAGAAATCACTTGGCTTCTCAAAACATGATTGTGGAAACAACCTTGGGGGGCTGAGTGGAGAAAGAGTGGATGACTAGGATCTTTTCTGTTTCTTTCCTTCCACTCCCGTTGTACTTTTTCCCATTGTCCTTCCTCCCTTTCGTTGGATGTGAGAGAACATGGACATTTTGGCACACACTTCAAGGGAGAGCAGTTGGTCTCGTTGGGCCAGTGAAACAAATGGCCAGCTGTGACATTGAAAAGTCACAGTCTTGAGGTTGGAATAAGGAAAGAAAGGCTAAACTTTCTTTAATGACTTGGTGACCGTCTCCATTTCATCTTAGAACAACCCTGTTCAGAGTCCTCCGCCTTTAAAGAAGATGATTCAGATGGCTGGGGAGATTGCAGATGGCATGGCCTATCTCAACGCCAACAAGTTTGTCCACAGAGATCTGGCTGCCAGGAACTGCATGGTGGCAGAGGATTTTACTGTGAAAATTGGAGGTAGGACATCTTTACTACTGAAAAAAGGAACCATTTAGTGTCATCCTAGACACAGCAGGCTGAAAATGTTCAGGCAAGACTTGGTGAAACTTCTAGGTGCCAGAAATGGGCAAGGCAAAAATTTCCAATTTTGGGGTGGGGGTGGGGTAAAATCATGAGTTCTTGATAGGCCTCATGTTCATTGGACAACCACTGGTCTGAAATGGTCTAGGGCAGGGGTAGGCAACCTTGGCCCTCTCATGACTCGTGGACTTCAACTCCCAAAATTCCTGAGGCAGCTATGCTGAGGGGACAGGGAGAGTTGGAAGGACGTAACCTTGAAAAGGAGAATGCAAAGGGAGTTACAGAAACCCCGTCTTAGATGCAGTGTGAGAGTTTCAACTCCATATTACATGGGCAGAGGGAGCAAGTTAAAGGGACATTACAGTATTTCCCTTGCAGTAGCTCAGGGGACGACACAATTAGACTTCCAGTAGACTTTTAAAAGCCTGTTTTGTTCCTTTGAAGGGCTGACACCAGAGGAGACCAAGAGGGATTCTTGTAATAGATTAGATTAGATTAGATAATCTTTATTGTCATTTTTTTCCCTGTGGGCACAATGGCACACATTAAAAAAACGAAATGTAGTTGTTTCCTCTCAAAGTGTACACCTACATAACACACATTTAAAACATACTATATACAACCTATGTATTAGACCTACACCCTTACATATAAGTAACATGTCAGTATTAATCACTGTCCATCTTGAATACATAACGGAAGGAGGAAGTAATAAAGGAAACATTGGAGACATACTTGATTTTGGAAACAAAAAAAAAACCAGAATACACTTTTCCCAGCAACTAACTTCCAGATATGTGGGGAATAACACCAGACAGACAACCAAGCAGATAACAATAGCCAAATCAAGGAATTACCAGAGAGAAAAATCACACTCCCTCCAACACTTGTGGGGCAAGCTACTGTATATAAACAGGAAGTAAACCCTATCCTTCCTCGCACTGATGATGTTACTTAGACAGGTCATGAAACGTCTGCAAACTCAGAGAGCATCGAGGACTTCATTTGGTTTTGTAGCCCAGCATGCTTTAAAAAAAAATAAAATCTCAATATCTTTAAAATAATAAATAAATGAAGCTGAGATTGATAGGAAATGTAGTGGCCATCACATTTCCCTGTCAGTCTGTATGATTACAGATAAAATGAGATATTTTAGTACATCCCAGGGGGTGCGTTAAAACAGAAATGAAAGTTTGTGGTAATAGAGCTACACAGCCGAAGTCCGCTGGCTAAACTCTGTTTTGCTGTTATGGTGATTTCTGCTTGAACTGCAATTTGCTGAGCACCTGTCTGTTGTGTACTGTGTAGATTTTGGCATGACGAGGGATATCTATGAGACTGATTACTACCGGAAAGGTGGAAAGGGACTATTGCCGGTCCGCTGGATGTCCCCAGAATCGCTGAAGGACGGCGTGTTCACAACCCACTCGGATGTTTGGTAATAAAGAAAACCATTTATAAAAGCACTCTTTGATCGCTCTTTGCCGGTCCCCGAAACTTGGGTTTTTTTCACACCTTCTTGGATTTTGATCAGGGGTTTCCAAACTTGACAACTTTAAAACTTGTGGATTTTAACTCCCAGTAATTCTGGCTGGGGCATTCTGGGAGTTGAAGTCCACAAGTCTTAAAGTTGCCAAGTATGAAGAGCCCTGGTTTAGATAGGCATCTCGGGGGGGGGGGTGTGTTCTACTTTCTTAGGGAAGCTTTCATCGTGCGTAGCCCCCCCCCCAAAAAAGTTCAGTTTTAAAACTGGTCCATTTCTCTGATTTTGCAGTGCTTCTTACTGGTCCTTATAGTAGAAGTAACCATATACAGATGGTCCTTAACTTATGACCACAATTGAGCCCAAAAATTCTGTTGTTAAGTGAGTTTCCCCCATTTTACGATCTTTCTTGCCACAGTTGTTAACTGAGATTGCTTCAGTTGTTAAGTTAGCAACACGGTTATTAAGTGAATCTGGCTTCCCCATTGTCTATGCTTGTCAGAAAGTCGCAAAAGGGGATCATGTGTCCTGTGGGACATGGCGACCGCCATTAGTATGGGTCAGTTGCCAAGCGTTTGATTTTTGATCATGGGACCATGAGGATGTTGCAGTGGTCGTAAGCGTGAAAATCGGTCATAAGTCAGTTCTTCCATTGCCATTGTAACTTCGAACGGTGGCTAAAATTTGTAAGTCTGGGATTACCTGTAGTGGCATCTACTTGAGGTTGGATTCTTCAGTCTAATAGCTTTCAAGTTGTAAGAGTTACAAACTGGTGTTATTGTTTTTCTGTGCTCTTTTCCCACAGCCCAGCAAAGCACGCTAGATCGCCAAGCTTGGCAGGCTGGGCCTTTACATAGATTTGTATATTTTGGGAAACCCGCTGCAGAATTTGGCTGCCCATTGCAAAATTCTTGAGATGGGGAAAGCCGTAGTCTAGCTTTCTGGAAGAGCTAACTTTGGAGCTGAGCTGCCTAGTTTTTATTTTAGATTCCACTGACGGAATAAAAATAAACAAGGCAGAAGTAAGGTTGTGGATGATCCAGATCCCAGAGTAAATGACATTCTAGTTATTATCGGGACTGATTCCAACATGTCAGGACTTGGGGAGAACTCATACGTGCAGCAAAAATAGCCCCACTCTGCAGTTAATGTTGCAAGGAATATCGGTATTTTAAATGTCTTCTTTCATACAATCCAGTATAATAAAAAAATGGGGGGGGGTTAATTAGATCAAAGGGCAGTGGGCTTTCTCCTGCTGGATGTGCATCAAAAGTTGCTAACTTCCATTCAGTTCCCACCAGAAGAGACTGTTGGAATGATGTTTAGAGTAAAATAGTTGCGTTCTCCATATCAAGTTTAGATGGTTAGTTATCTCGAACTGGGACACTATTTCTGTCTTCTGCACCTTGCTTCCTGGTTTATATTGTATCTGGGTTTTTCTTGCAGCCTCTGACCAGGCATTCAGTAAATAAAATAAAAATCAACTGAATATTCTTAAAGCATGTTTAAGTGTCCCATTCAAAGCCAAATTTGGGGATTACATTGGTTGAGTTAAAATATTTACAATTGATTCGGATTCAGAGTGGCAGCCTCACAAAGACGTGGAGATAAAAGCTTCCAGTCTGTTTGCAACAAATCAATTTATTACTTTATCCAAAGTGTAGTTTGTACAATTGACTCCAAATTAAATTTCACCAGATCAGGCCCTATGGGTTTTTTTAGAGTGCATAAAAAGCGCAATGGTTATTGTTATTGATTCAATTTGTGCCTATCTTTCTAGCCAGTGTTACTCAAAAGTAATTTATACTTCTATTGCAGTATTATTGCCCCAGTTGGTTACACAACGCTGCACTTTTTAAATGGCAAAGTTCATGTGCCTGTAACAAACCGTGACGGTGCCACAATGTCAACGTATCCATAGCATATGCAAGTGACAGAGTTGTTGTGACGTAGATACACAAGTTACATTTGTGTGAAGTCATCACAGGAATCATGTGCCTGTTGCATGTGTGCCTCTCCTCACTACCCAAGTTTCTGTAAGTTCTTAACAGGTGGATAAGACCAGGTCCACATGAGAAGGTTCAGTTAATCTTCTCAACTAACGGTCAAGCACCTGATTAGAGTTAGACAAGGGACAAAGCATTCAAAAGGGGTTGGACTTAGTTTGCTTGTGGTTAGGTAGGGATGCTAGGCTGATGCCTATTTTCACTCCTCCCCCAGGTTCAGCCATGCCTTCTCCTACATCTGTACACTTTTTCACTTTTTGAGTTTCTCCAGAGAAAACTTCCACTGGCTCTAACGTTTCTTAACCTTTTCCTTGTAGGTCTTTCGGCGTTGTGTTATGGGAAATCGCCACCTTAGCCGAGCAGCCTTACCAAGGCATGTCCAATGAACAAGTTTTACGCTTTGTGATGGAGGGAGGCCTCCTGGAGAAGCCAGACAACTGCCCAGACATGCTGTACGTATATCCAGACCTTTCCCGTCCTGGCCTGCCTTGTTCTCTTCACCTGCTTTGGGACTGGCGTGTCCCACCTGTGCCTACAGAGAATAATCAGCCTGATTATTCCAGCTGGCAGGGTCCAGTTGAATTCAAAAGATCACATCCTGGTTTGATGGGGGGGGGCTGTGGCTCCTGCCCTCTGGAATATCTCGCCTCCCCCATGTGAGGTCAGTCCAAACTCTCCTATCTGCCAATTGGCTTGAAGCCCTGGTGGGGAAAACAGCACAGGAGAGGCAGTTGGTCAAGTAACAACAAAGGCTGCTTCTGCTGACTGCCAGCAGTTCGGCAGTTTGATCCTGACCAGCTCAAGGTTGACTCAGCCTTCCAGCCTTCTAAGATGGGTAAAATGAGGACCCAGATTGTTGGGGACAACAGGCTGACTCTGTAAACTCCTTCGGGAGGACTATAAAGCACTACAAAGTGGCATATAAGTCTAAGTGCTATTGCTGTTGTGCAAATGGAGCTGCATGTGGGCGCTCATTGCTCACACAGACCCACCCCCTTTCCCCCCTGCCAAGCCAGAAAAGTTTGAGACCCCCGATTTGAGGGATCAGAAAAGATCGCCTCTCCCTCACCTTGTCCTCCCTGACCAATTTTCCCTTGCCTGTAAAATTTGGAACTCTCACTCGCATTTTTTTGAAACAAGATAGGGATCTTAACCTATGACGATCTTGGCTTAAACCCTCCACTGGAAATTTCCAGGTTGTAAAGAAAAGAAGCAGCTTCTTGTTAAAGGTCCCCCCCCCCCCATCAAACCATCCTTTTTTTAGTGTCTGGGTTGTCCACCTGACGTGTTTTTCAAAGCTTTACAATTCTTTGCAACCCAATTGTGTTGGGCTGGGCTTGGAGTTAGCAAATACAGAGCATCGTGTGAATGGTGGCTTTCTGGAAGGAAAACACTTATTTTGCTGGCCTTTTTTTCTTTTTTCTTTCTTTTTTCTTTTCATTGGAGGCCTGCATGAGGGATGCAACTGCTTAAGGGGCCTCAGCTGTTTGAGATTCTCAGGAAAAGAGCTTATTTAGCCAGAGGGCTTAGACTGGTATCAGGTGACAGTTCAGCCTTGTTTTGCTAGCTTGCTAGCTGGAGTCAGGCAAAGGAGAGGCGGCTGTCGGCTGTTGCTAAGGAACTGAATTCTCCACCTTATTTTTTTTTTCCAGAATGGGAAATCTCCAGCAAGCTTTGAAATTCTGCTAAACACAGAGGAAATTATTTAACCAGGCCAGCCAGGGGGGATGGGGGGGGCACGGATGTGCAGCTATGCAAAGCAGAAAAAAGATGATCAGTCTAAATTTCATGGGCAAGAATGTTATTAATAAATCAAGACCTCCCCTCTTTCCCCATCCGGCAATTGAGGGTGAAAATGATGTATAAGCCCGGGTAATTAAGGTTGGGGAGATTTTTTTGAGGATAGCATTTAACTGCCGTTTAAGGGGGAGCTGCTAATAGATATAAATTGACATAATTTCTTGGTTGAAGGCATGTCCCCCCCCCCCAAGCTGATCAAATTACTCTCAAGGGCTACTCAAGTCTTCCAGCCCTCCTTTTTAGAAAGCTATTGATTAAAGCAGATGCTCCAGTCCACCCCATTTCTGCCCCAGTCAATAGCTGTTGACGCTCTTTTCCTAACCTGGCCCCTCCAGGGATGATGGAATTCAGCTTCCAGGCAGCCATTGCATGCAGGCAGTCCTCGACTTACGACCACAAGTGAGCCCCAGATTTCTGTTGCTAAGCGAGCCAGTTGTTGTGAGATTTGCCCCATTTTACCACCTCTCTTCCCACAGTTAAGTGAACCACTGCATTCGTTAAGTTCATAATGGGTGGTTAAGTGAATTGGACATGGCTAGTCTAGAGCAGGGGTCCCCCAACGCCCAGTCCCTGGACCAGTACCAGGCCGTGGCATGTCACTTTTTTCAGTGCCGTTGGACCTTCAAACGGTCACAAACTGAATGTTGTAAGTCGAGGACTCCCTGTGTACTTCAGAAAAGAAAATTTCCCAAGAACGAGACCCCAGGGGTGCACCTTCCCCTCCTGTGGCACAACTCCCCAACCCAAGAGTTGTTGAGGCTGAAGAAGGGGCCATGGATTCCCGCAGGACAGAGAGAGGTTGGCAGCCCCCCCCCCCCTTGGCCGGAAATCAAAGGGCAGCAGCAGCTGAGATGTTCCTCCTGGTTGCAAACGTCATTGCAGGCAAAAGGGAGGTGTCATTAGAAAAGCCTTTTCATTCCTCCCTCGTGATCGGTGCAGGTTTGCAAACTCTCTCTCTTCCTCCCATTTCTGGAAGAGCATTCCGTTTCCAAGGCTGCGTCAACAAGGCCCGCTAACCCACCGGCTGAAGAAAACTTCCTTTTATGGGAAGCTGGTGGAATGGCCTCAAAGGAAGTGTCACATGTGCTTGCTGGCACATGTGTCCCGCTGGCCTCTTTGTGGTATCTCCTCAGCAGTTCCCTTCAGGCAGCTGGGCAAAGAGCTGCTATCCCTGTCCTTGGTCCCAGCTGGTGTTTTTAGACAGAGACAAAGAGGCAGCTGGGGAAACGACGGGTGTGAAGTTACCGAAATGGATCTTGGTTAGACCGACGGCTGGTTTCTTGCTGGGTTGAGCCAGGTTGGCTTTTTGCAAATAAGGAAAAAAGATGAAATAAAACCCCAACATCTCTGGAACCTTGTTTCGCGTTTAAGACAGAAGGCAGCGTTAAAGCAAAAATTGGGGAATGTGTATTTCTAATTCCTTTGTCGTCATTCATTTTACAGATAGTCCTCGACTTACAACAGTTTGTTTAGTGGCCGTTCAAAGTTACAACAGCACTGAAAAGAGTGACTTAGGACCGTTTTTCACATTTACAAGCATTGCAGCATCCCTAGGGTCACGTGATCAAAATTCAGACGCTTGGCAACGGACTCGTGTTTAGGACAATTGCAGGGTCCCAGGGTCTTGTGAACCCCTTTTGCGACCTTTCAACAAAGTAAATGGGGAAGCCAGATTCACTTAGCAACAGTGTCACTAATTTAACAGTTGCAGAGATTCACAAAATGGGGGCAAAATTCACTTAACAACTGTCTTACTTAGCAGGAGAAATGTTGGGCTCCATTGTGATGGTATGTCAAGGACTACCTACTTTGTTTTATTATTTTACTTCTGTTTACGCTCCTTTCATTTTTCATCCTTTTTATCGTTGTGAGCCCCTTGAGTAACCTCACAGGAAGGTAGCTCACAAAAGGGACAGTGTAACTGTCATACATATGAGTCGATTGCCAAATGGCCACATTTTGACCACAGGTGACCATGGGGATACTGCAGCGGTTGTAAGTATGGAAAAATGGTCGTAAGTCTCCTTTTTCAATGTTGTCGTAACTTCAAACGGTCACTAAACGAATAGTTACAAGTTGAGGACTATCTATAGGTATTCAGTTTCTTGAATTAGAGCAATCCTGCTTCTGGTGTCCGGATCATTTTGAGTTGATCTATGGCATTTGAAGGTAGCAAGGGCTTGACCCCCTTCCTCATTCAGATGCATTTGAGTACTTAACTCTCAACCACCATGGGGTTCCAGACCAAGCAAAGCTACTTAGGAATGGGGAGTCAACTTCTAACAGTCCCTTTTTGTCTTAAATGGTGTAAATCAGGGTCTTAGGGTTTCCCGCCCAAAGCGACGCTGCGCCCTATTTGCATGCTGTCTCCTCAAAGGCCTCCTAAATGTCAGGGAACCAAATGTTTGTTGCTGGTCAGGAGCTAAACCCAAGTCCTCCTCCAACACAACCGTGTCTGCTGTCTTCTCTTTCCAGCTTCGAACTGATGCGCATGTGCTGGCAGTATAACCCCAAGATGAGACCTTCTTTCCTGGAGATCATCGGCAGCATCAAGGATGAGCTGGACCCGGCCTTCAAAGAGGTCTCCTTCTTTTACAGCGATGAGAACAAGCCTCCCGACACGGAAGAACTAGATTTGGAGACGGAGAACATGGAGAGCATTCCTTTAGATCCTTCCTCGGCCCTCCAGCCTTCGGATAAACACTCAGGACACAAAGCCGAGAATGGGCCAGGCGTGGTGGTCCTCCGGGCCAGCTTTGAGGAGAGGCAGTCCTACGCTCACATGAACGGGGGACGCAAGAACGAACGGGCCTTGCCTTTACCCCAGTCTTCAGCCTGCTGACCTTGAGAAACAGGTGGTTTTTTTGGGTTTTTGGTTTTTTTTTTTTTGCAAATGCAGAAATAAGGGGTTGAGCTGGGAGGGAACAAGAGCAAGCCAACCAAGTGAGAAAATAACAATATATTCAAAAGCCGACTGTACCTCAGTGGATCTTCAAGAACTGTCATAACTGCACACAGGAGAATCCTCTCTTCGATTAGAAGTCGAAATAACTTTTATTTTTCCTTTTTGGGGGGGGGGTTGTTTCAATATGCAAGCAGGAGATTGTTCCGAGCAACAGAACTCTGTACGCGGAGCACAGTCAGCCTTCTAAAACTTTTAATATTAACACTTAATAGCAACAGAAAACAAACAAACTTGAGAATCTGATGTGCGTCTCCCTTTCCTCTCCTTTCTTTCTGCTTCATAAATGGGAAACATGTCCGTGTGAAGTTCAACTTGACACTTTTTTTGTTTCTTAAAATCGCATGGAAGGAGAAGGACAGGCCAACCAGCTCTCCTGCTTTCTTTGCGAGCGCTGTAAGTTGTTACAAAGACAGAAAGAATAATAATAATAAAAAAAGACTGGATTTTTTTTTTAAACTATGATTCCTTAAACTTTCTAGGCTGTCACGAAAGACAGAAGGGTCATACTTTTTCCCAGAGCTGCCAAACTTTGCCAAAAAAAAGAAAAAAAAAGAACTTTTAGGGTTTTCCTTGCTTTGTTTTCTTTTGGTTTTTGTTTTTTCCAATCACACGCTCCATTGAAACAAAATACAGACCAATACACTCCCCTATCTATCGTACACTGGCATTTTTAGGAAAGTTTGACAAAAAATATTATTTTTTGACTGGACGAAAGAAAAAAAACCTGTTCTCTCTTTTTTAAAAAAAAAAATTAAAAACACACAAAAACCCATGGTTGAGAACCTAAGGGATGGGGCTGAATTAGCAAGCACCCCAACATCCCCCACCAATTCATTCTGGATACAACTGGCATTGATGACGGGCGCAAAAGGGCGAGGAAGGAGATGCTTCTTGTGCAGAAATTCAACACAGCCCTCCAGAATGGAAATGCAGACAGACAAAACAGGAAGCGTTGCCATGAGTTGTTTCTTCTGTTCTTTTGGCAGGCTTGCAGCGGGAAAAAATGAAAAAAAAAAAAAAAAAAAAACTTAGAGAAACACTAAAACGGGAGAAGAATGGCAGTTAAACAGATTCAGGCCTTCAATTCTTCAATGCCCTATTTTCCCCCCTCTGTTATTAAGACTTCAAGGGGTATTGCAGTTCTGTGTTAGACCATGGCTCATTTGCATACACATTTGTCTTTTTGTGTCACTTTTATAACTTTTTTACAGTTCAGATACTCATCTATATGTCTGTACAGAAAAAAAAAGCTGCTATTTTTTTGTTCTTTATCTTTGTGGATTTAATCTATGAAAAAGAAAAAAAATCTTCAGGTCAACCCTCTTTTTCCCCCCCCCCCATCCCGTCCTTCCATTTCCGGTGGATTTCTTCCCTCGTGCTTTCTACTATATAAAGTTGGACCTTTCCACCTTCATCCTGCCGCTTCTTTTCCCGAACCGCCGTACCTGGAATCATCGATGGTTTAACACCTTTGAAAGATTTTCCTGGTTTTGTTTTTTCTTTCTATCTCTCCTCTTCTGTCTTCTTTTTTTTTTTTTTTTGCTTTGAAAAAAAAATATATATATATATATATTTATGACCGTCTGTTTGGGCTAAAGCACACTTTGTGGGATGGACGGGAAAAGTACGTTGCCAATCAAGGTTCATGTCCTGTATGTATTGCCCTCTTAAACCATCATTCTCATTCTTGGTACATACGATGCCCAGGTCTGTTACAGTGCAAGGTAGGATGGAGACTCAAGTCACGAAAAAAGAGAAAATTAACTATTTAATGCAAGGGTGGGCAGCTATGGCAATTTTATGACCTGTGGACTTCAACTCCCAGAATTCCTGAGCCAACATGGAATTCTCATTCTTGGCCGGCTCAGGAATTCTGGGAGTTGAAGTCCATAGGTCATAAAATTGCCATAGTTGCCAACCCTTGATTTAGCACAGTGGTCTTCAAACCAGTCATAAAAGGGCCAAGTTTGAAGACCCCTGATTTAGCAAAATTTTCTGCTGTTAGCAGTGTGGCATTGCCTCGCCCTCCTTCTTGTTGGCCCTTTCAAGCAAACCACCACACACCCTGAAGTATATCAGATGTAGGTGAACGGTTGAGTGCGGCCTTGTCTTTCCAGCCATCAACCCTTCCATCCTAGGAACAACATGCATTTCCTGCTCTGCCAGTGGTGATTTTGCAAGGTCACTCAAATTTCCTCTGATTTCCGGGTGGCTTTGGCTCCTGCTGTATCCCAAAAAAAAGGAAATAGTGGATGGATACAAGTTTTGGAGAGGTCATAAAGGTGAAACCGAATTAAGGTGTTGTACGGGTTGGTTGAAAAAGAGGAGAGAGGTTGTTGATGCTGGCTTAGTCCGACATGGAAATTCTGGGTTAGCACTGATTAAACCAAAAAAAAAATAAAAAATCTGGCAGCAGATTAAGGTTTATTCTAGGTTGGAAATATTGATTCCTCTCCTTTTAATATTGGCTGGGGGTTTTGTGTTTTGAGTAAGAACAAAGAATTAAACTATAAACTGCTAGATTGTGACTGGAGATAAAAGTTTTGTTTGTAGTGCTTTTTTTCTTTTTTGCTTGTGTAGCTTCAGTCCCAACCATCTTTTCACTTCCCCGTAGTTAACTATTTCCCCTTTTTCGAGAAAAAGAAAAAGAAAAAAAATGTATTCTATGTAGGATTCTTTTTATTTATTTTTTTTGTGCTCTCAGTTTAAATCACTGTAGAAGTGCCCCATAATACTTTTTAAATACTGAAATAAGAGTTTTGTTTTGTTCTGTTTTTCTGAGTTATGACGGGACAGTTTTTATTTTGTTTTTCAAACATTTTATCTACCTCACACTTTTTTTGTGTGTATATATAAAAATATACATCTCACATTTTCTCAGCAGCCGACAATATACTGTTGAATACTGGCAACCTCATTTGTTGTACAAACCACACATCCTGCAGGTTTTAGAGAAGGAGGTCACTGCTGAACACACACAAAAAAAGATCCCTTGGAGAAAAAAGTTGCTGCTGCTTTACATTCACAAATGCTTTTATCTCTCTGGTGTGGTGTGGATTGAAAGCAGTTTTCACTTGGTTTTGAGTAAAAAATGAAAAGCTGCTGTCCGTCTAGTTAAAAAGAACAGGCAGGTGAAAACCCCAGGGATACCATCTGGTGGTGCCAAAACAGGTTATCCGCTGGGATGAAGTAGGGTTTAAAAATGGGGAGTGTTAACAGGTCTGAATCACATGTAGACTGTGGATATGGAGAAGGAGGTTTAATCCTTTTGAAGCTCTCCAGGTGCCTCCAAACTCTGAAAGAGAGATCGGAACCAAGTGAACATACCCACCTAAACACGAAGTACAGCTTTATTTCTCTGGCAGATCAGTGAAATAGGGTTCCTTAAAACCAAGTTAGTGTAGGATTGGAGAAAAGAAAGAGCTGCTAGTATGTGGCAGGAACACAAAGATATGATTTGCGTTTGTAGCTGAAAAATTGTTGAGAGTTTGGGTTGTTTTCCCCGAACCTCCAAATGATGTTTTGCAGTTGTGAAAACTGTCAGGTGACGGATCCTGGCTTAACTGATCTGCCAGTCAGGTGGCAATTCTCCATCCTGGCCACTGTTCCTTTCCACACAGCTTGTAATTGTTTTCCCCAGTTTGGAGTCATCCAGTTGTGTTGAACCTGGACTCTCAGCCTGAATTCGGGGTGTGCATTAGCACATCTGGAGACTCCAGGTAGAAGGATGACTTGCTTGCTGCATCTGAATTATGTCAGGCTCAACTGCATGATACAGAACTTAAAATTGTGTTAATATCCAGCGGTTGGCCTCTAGAGATTTGGAAAGCATCCAAGGCCATGTTTGATTCTAAAATGGGTTTGGTAAGGAACAGATGCCTGTTATCCTGACTATTCTTTGCTTGATGTCTTTCTGTTCTTTCAGGTGATTTTTTTATTTTTAGTTTTTTTGTGTGTGTGTGATTTCAGTGATGGCCTCTCCTCTCTTGCACATACTAATCTCCTGTTTAGATCTTCAGATCTTTTAACTGGTTTAAGAAGATTTCTCTCCCCCCCCCCAACTGTCCATGTTATTACTTTTAGTTGTACGTAGGTGGCTTAAAATATTAGGAGAGAAAACTAACATTGTAATGCCCATCAAGACATACATTTCATAAGCATTCAGAAATAAGGCAGTCGTGTGATTAAACAAGTAGGCATATGTGACAGGTGAGCTCACCTCAGTCAAATCACCTCAATTCTACCATAGTGTTCTGCGTTCATATTTTTTTAAATACCCATGATGGTTTCCATAGATGTTGTTCTTGTTATTGGAATCTTTTTTTGTGTTGCCCCTTTGACATTATCTGCTTGTCTTTTTTTTTCTCCTCATACAGTCTTTCTGTTGATAGTGAACCCATATTGTCTATGCATGTCAAAGAAACTCTGTTGGCTTGATGTTGGGCACAAAGATGCAATTTTTTGCAGGGTTTGTGAGAGATGGAAAATTTATTTTAGTTCTGGATGGGTTTGGATTGAAATGATACAACCTCAGTCACTGGATGTGATGATCACGCATAGAACTGAATTGGCTTCACAGATCAGAAAGTTGGACAGTTTGTTCCATTCATTCACGAAAATTTGACAGCTTTTCTAAGTCCAACCAAGGGTCCATCTTTTTTAAGTTCTTCATTCAAACGATGCCCCCTCACCCCAGATCTCCCGGCACTTGGATGTAACAGCATTTCCATTTTGCAATGTACAAGCAATGCTCACTGCTACTCCTGGTGTGTAAACCTAGAAGTGCTTAGCTTGAATGGCTAGGCTGATGCAGGAAATTGTAAGTCCAACGCAACTGAAGGAGGAGCTTCCCAGTTTAAGCCATTGGTTCTCTGTAAACCACTTTTCATAGCAGGACTCAATCCAGGGGCTTGGATCTGTTTTTAGTCGATTGCATTGGGTGATCTTGAGATCTTGCATTATGAGGAGAAGATGTTTGTACCTCCTTCTTCTACCATATTCTCTACAGCATCCATATTAAGTCAGTTCAAGTCTGGGTCTCACTTTTCACTTCTCATAAGCTCTGTTGGCATGGATTGCCCATTTTTACACCTTAATATATAATACTCTGGAGATAGGGCAGAGGGTAACCACTTGTTGTCCTGGTTAGGAATTATGGGAACTCAGTCTAAAATCAAAAGATTTTGGAAGGGTGGTTTAGACATTACCACGTTTGCAATTTTACTTTCAGTCCCTTTTCCTTCTCAATTATCAATAGTTCGCTAGTTGCCTTCCAATCATCCTGTACAAGGAAGTCAATGAACATGTGTTTTGTTTCCAGAACCTTTGCATGGATGGTACGCAGTGATGCTTGTTAAATTTTAATGGCCCTGCATATAAAAAACACAACAATGATTCAGCTTTAAGTTTTGAGGTGGCCTTTCCTTTAAAGAATGGTCTGAGTCCCCTGGCTGCTTCCTTGATGTGCAGATGTGCGGGTTTGGCTTCAGAGCTAGGCCTGCTATATCAAAACAGAACTGCTCTCCACTGTTGATTTAACTTTTGATGTCGGAATGGCACACAAAGCAGAGCATCCAAGAAGACCGGTTTGCAGATTAGCTTCCTCCGGGTTCTTCCGAGAAGGGTCTCCCATAAAGTTAAGATTTAAGTTTGTTAGCACTCATGTGCCTGTTTGATGCTATAAAATCCAGTTGGTCCCAGGACTGGTTGCGAGGTGGAAGTGCTGCTTACATCTCTGGGAAAATGCTGAGCGTTGTTTAGTACAATCTGTTAGGTATATGAATGGCACTCCTGTTGCCGGTATAATGTTTGATAGAGTTATATTTTTTAAACGAAATTCCATTCCAGTAGTTGGTAACATTTCATTGTGACTTTTATTTTAAGTTTGTCAAAATATATTTTCCCATGCTCTGTTCAGGTATTCACGATGCCTCTTCTGGCGGGGGAATGGGGGTCAGCAACTTTTTCAGGCATCATAACCACCCCCTTCCCATTTATTTTTTAAAAAGTACGTTTGACAACTTTGCCCAAATCCCATATAATCAGATTTTGAAAAAGATGAACTATTTAAATTTTTTTTTTAAAAAAAAAATACATATATTCTTGCTTTACATTAAGAGGTGCCATGTGGGTGACCCCAGCTCTGGTTTAATCCCGGCTACCCCCTAACTTCTTTCACGATGGGGAAGGTCTGAAGGGAAAGTCTGACCTCACTTGGCTGATCGCGCAGAGTGCTCGATGGGGGAAATGGTTGCATTCCTCTCCCATCCCCGGGAGATTGGGAACTTGGCAAGAACGCTGCCCTCCCTTCCCTGTTCCGTGGCTAAGATTTTTGGAACACGTGAGTAGGGCTACGGATTCAATCCACCGCAATTCATCTCTTGGCTCATTCCTTTCCTTTCCTAGAGGTGCTGAAGATACAGAACGTGTTGTGGGCTTTGTTCCAACAAATTATGAATCCTGTTTGAAGGACCGGTTGGTTCCAAGTTGGAACACTTAACGTGTCTTCGAGTAGGTTTTAAGAACCACCAGGTTGATCCAAATTGAAGGAAGACACAAATTATGGGGCAGAAGTGCTGGTCTGCAACACACAGGTTGACTGAAGTTGAGTGTGCCAGGAATCCTAACTAATTTGGAATTGGTGACGCTGAAGTCTACTGCTGGAGTTCTAGATGTTCCATAGACATCTAGTTCTGGAGCATTTCTGCTGTGGAATCAAATAACGTTAAGCAGAACTCCATACAGGCTGCTGCTTCTAACACATTGACCCCTGAGCCAAGTTTCCACATGCATCTGGAGCAACCATGTTTGCAGGTTTCTCTTAAGCATCTTAATGGAAGGTAACTCCCATTGGAGTCTAGGGTGGAAATGCCCTCTGGGACAGAGTCGGCTGCATCCATGTATTGGAGAATTTGAAAGGGATAGATCAGGGGTAGGCAACCTTGGCTCTTTTATGACTTGTGGACTTCAACTCCCAGAATCCCTGAGCCGGCATGGTTCAGCTTGGAATCCTCTCCCTTTCCCCTCAGCATGGCTGGCTCAGGAATTCTGGGAGTTGAAGTCCACGAGTCATAAAAGAGCCAAGGTTGCCTACCCCTGGAATGGATCATGACCATCTGGCCATAACTGTTACGCAGGTTCCAGGCAGCTTTGTTGCACACAAACGTGGGTTGTGTGTGTATAATTGTCATCTTTGAATTCTGTATCCTTTCTATCCGCTACCGATCCATTAGCATTTTCATTGGGGCTATTCAGTCCAGTAGATTACGGGTAGTCAGTTGACAAAAGATCTGGTTTACAGAAACTAACGACATATTTCACTACATTTTGCAAGACTATAGAGTAGTTTTTATATTAAAAAAAACACAAAAACCATTTGTAGTTTTTAAACACTAACGATAATTTAAGGGCACTTTTCAGTGTGCATGTTTTTCCTTTTTTTTTTCTTTTTCAGGATACCAATGTTATTAATTACCTTTACAGTATGCCAAAACTAAGAGGAACCTGTAGTCACTTCTAAACCACAACTCACACATGGCCCTGTATGCACACCCGATGCCCAGATTGTGTTCTGTATCTCCAGTAACCCAGGCTTCCAGAGAGCTCTGGATAAGTGGGATCATCAATTAATCATTTCACATTTATTGTGTTAAGGTACAGGTTGAGAAAAACCTTGCTGGTTAAGAAAACAGAACAAACATTGGTGCTGTTAAGCAGCCTCTAGCACAGGGGTCTTCAAACTTGGCCCTTTCATGACTTGGGGACTTCAACTCCCAGAATTTCTCAGCCAGCATATGCTGGCTGAGAAATTCTGGGAGTTGAAGTCCTCAAGTCATGAAGGCCATGTTTGAAGACTCCTGTTGTATGGGGACAATATAGCAACAGTACACTTACTGCCTAGTTCAGGGGTCTTCAAACATGGCCCTTTTATGACTTGTGGACTTCAACTCCCAGAATTCCTCAGCCAGTTGGCTGAGGACTGGCTGAGGAATTCTGGGAGTTGAAGTCCACAAGTCATAAAAGGGCCAAGTTTGAAGATCCCTGAACTAGTATTTGTCTTGGAGTTACACTGATATGGAAAGCAGAGGCATGGGCATCTGGGGAAAGGTGTTAGGGATGGTATTCTGCTTGGGTGATTTGCTTTATGACTACTTGGGTTGAAGGATCTGAGAGCCTGGTCAGTGATATGATGAAAATGTCACTTCTAGCATTAATCACTTCATGGAAAGAGAATTTTACTTTGACCCGTTTTTTCCCCCATTCTGTGAAAAAAGGCGGCTTAGGAGAGTGCGCAGTTTATGTACATATTTAACAACTTTGAAGCTTTCTTTGAAAAGACCCATATTCTTTTAAAGGTCCCTATTTATTATAATTATTTAAACAAAAATACTAAAGACATTATCTAATTTTTATCTCAAAAGCAAGGCCCCCTCCCCTCTGCCTAAATGATTTTGAGTGATTATTCCTTTTTTTATGAATTTTCTGTTTTCTAAACCAGTGAGGTTTGAAAAGAAAGGATTGGCCAGAGATCTGTCTCTGGGACAATAAAATACAATATAAATATAAATTTAAAAAAAACCTGCTAAAAACAACACCCTTCCCCTCCCCCCGACACAGACACAAACACACACAATACACACACAAAACGACTCGAACTGAATGCATTTACAAATAGATTTTCCAACTTACCTTGTTTAAAATATAAACTTTTTAAAAAAATAAAAAAAAACCGAATAAAATAACATACCAATTTATTACAGGAAGACTTGCTGTGTATAAATTATTCCTAAAGAAATTCCTGTGTTTATATTAAAATGAATCAGTAGATGATGGAAAAAAAGATCAATGTTTTTGTATATTCTGTTGTAAGAATTTATTCCTGTTGCGATATACTCTGGATTCTTTACATTATGAAAAAAAAGAAAAGAACTTTTGTCTATTTTGAATGCCTGATGCTGAAGCTCCTTTAGTTTCTCTTACTCTGCTTTTTTCTAGTAGTTACAGTACTACATGATTAAGTTAAATAAAAATGGATTCTGTATGTATTTACGACTATTGTGTTTTCTTGTTCGTTGTGCAAAGAAAACTATATTTGTTAAGCGAATTTTGCCCCATTTTGCAACTTTTGTAATTTCTATTCTATTTCCCATTCCATATTTTTTCTGTTCTATTCTATTCTATTCTATTCTATTCTATTCTATTCTATTCTATTCTATTCTTCTACTTCATTCCATTATTGTATTGTATTGTATTGTATTGGTCAGGAGCTAAGAAATCATTCTGGGTTTGAGAAGGTAGAAGGCAGAAGGAGTTAAATGGCTAGGATTCCAGAGATGTCCATAATTAAAATGATATCACTTCATATGAAACCAGCCCATTTGGTAAAGTGTTTTTACCCTGACCAATAGCGGAAAGGACATTTGGAACAGATGGTTAAAGAATATAATACCAGCAGCTATAATCAGCTGTGCTACCAAGGGTGACAGAGGACTGTTGCTGTGAAGAGCTGAAAGGTTAATTTGAGAATCTGAGTTAAATCGGATTGATTCGGAACCTTCATGGAAAAAAAATGTCTTTTAGCCAATACAGATAGTCCTCTACTTACAACAGTTTGTTTAATGACCTTTCAAAGTTACAATGGCACAGAAAGAAGTGACATATGACCATTCTTCACAGTTATGACCTCTACAGCATCCCCAGGGTCACGCGATCAAGATTCAGATGCTTGGTTCATTATTTATGACAGTTGCACTGTCCTGGGATCACGTGATCCCCTTTTGCGCCCTTCTGACAACAAAAACAATGGGGGGAAGCCAGATTCACTTTTTTAAAAAAAGTTTTTTATTTATAATACAGTTAAAACAAAGATGGACATAACGTAACATTCCAGTGTAAATATTCCTAACAATTTGTTCCTCATCATACATATAATTCTTAATCTCTATATATACATATTTTTCTATACAATACAGTCTCTAATTTGTTTCTCTATATACAAACATACAATTTTATGTATTTCTATCTTAACAGTAACTTAAAACCCGAACAGTTCTCCTTGCTTCACACCAACAATAGAATTTGTCCCAGAATTCAAAGTAATCGGGAAGCCAGATTCACTTAAAAAACAGGTTACTAACTTATCCACCGCAGTGATTGACTTAACTGTGGCAAGAAAAGTCGTAAAATGGGACAAGACTCAGTTAACAAATGTCTCAATTAGCAACAGAATTTGCTTTATGGACACGTCTGCTTCTTTGCCCAAATCTTGCCCCGCTGAAAACATCTAGCAAAGAGGCTATTTCCAAATGGAAAATAACTCACCTGCTCAGAAAATCAGATGCTATCTCCGTGGGATTTTAAAACACAGCATGCGGGCTTTCTTTTATCTATACGCTCAGTGCTTCTGAAAGTATCTGTTGACATCGGGGTTTTTCGCCCAAAGTCTATTGCTCCAAGGTTGAAGGACTTGTTATCTTTTTTTAAAAAACTACCTACCAATCCTGCCTTCCAGCTCCAGGCCCCAACAGGATAGCAATTTCATGTCAAATTTCAACTCTCTCGTTTCACAAGCATGAGATTTTAAAAAAACCAATGAAGCAAGAGGGAGGGTACTATTACACCAATACCAGAATGAATGAATATGCATAGATCTATATTATTTGTAGAATGAGGAATGACATAATTATTCAGTAATAAACAGGACAAATGGCTGTCCAGTCTCTTCTTAAAAGCCTCCAGTGATGGAGCACCCGCAGCTTCTGGAGGCAAGCCCTTCCACTGGTTGATTGTTCTCACTGCCAGGAAATTTTGCCTTAGTTCCAGGTTGCTTTCTCCTTGAAATGCATCTAAAAGAGAAAAGAAAAAAGAAAAGAAAGGGTTTCTTCCCTAAGAAAAAGCAGTGATTGTAAGTAAAACTGCTGGATTTTTCCAGGAAAAATGGGAGAAGCATTCTGAAGGAGAAAGGCTGGGGGGGGGGGATACTGAAATTAACTGGATTTGCTTAAGGACCACATGAGCCACTTAAGAACTGCGATGATTTATTTAAGAACTGTGCCAAAGTCAGTTAATAACTGCCTTGCTTAGCAGCAAAAATTTGGGACTCAGTTGTGTATACAGATAGTCCTCGACTTACAACCACAATTGAGTCAAAGTTTATGTTGCTAAGTGAGAAATTTGTTAAGGGAGTTTTGCTCCATTTTACAAGCTTTCTTGCCACAGTTGTTAAATGAATCTCTGCAGTTGATCAGTTAGTAACCCGGTTGTTAAGTGAATCTGGCTTTCCCCTTGCCAGGTCACAAAAGGGGATCACATGACCTTCGGACGCAGCAACAGTCATAAGTATGAACCAGTTGCCAAGCCTCTGAATTTCAATCACGTGATCATGGCGATGCTTCAATGGTCGTAACTATGAAAAATGGTCTTAAGTCACTTTTTTCAGTGCCACTGTATGTACAGTCACTAAATGAACTGTTGTAAGTTTACAGACACATATATACGCACATATATACATATGCATGTATTTGAAGCACCACAAGTGGTTGCTTCTTCCTATAATACTAAGGATTCTTGCAACTCCTGCTGATAGAAATAAAGGAATCTGCGCAACTCACGGTGTTTCCAAAAAGGATTACCTCTCTCCCCCACAGAAGTCCTGATGGAAAAATGAGCTGGATAGGAAAGAGAGCCAGTGGAACAGAAGTAACTTTGCAGACATCAAAGTATCTCGAGACAAAAAGACAATTGATTTTCTGGGATGATGTGATTAATACACATTTGCCTGCTGTGACTGAATGATTACAAGCTGTACCACTTGCATTTAATTGCTGTTTTACAACTTCCCACTAAATGCCATTCTTTGCAAGGTACATGGTTTTTATAATGCATATTTGCCAGCTGAGATAACATGGGGGATGCTGCTTGGTAACTTCAAGGGGAAGATTAACGGAGACCTGGGTGAGGTAAACAGGTTTGTAAGTAAAGGACTGTTTTTTTCCCCTTCCCGTACATCATTACAGTTAATTATCAGTTACTTGATCTCAGTGAGAAACGGAAGTAAGAGGAAGTAAGAGGCAAAAATAAGGTCCTGCACAGGAGTAAACACAGATTTAGGCTGTTTTAGTTGTTATCACATGCAGATGGCTTTATTTCACCTTCTAGATCTTCAGCTGCTATGATGAATAATACTGATTGCTTAAGATTTTCAGAGAATAACTGAGTTGGACGAGACCTTGTAGGTCTCCTAGTCACTAGATCTCCAAGGACCCTTCCAACTCCTGTTATTCTCTTATTCTGCTTACAGAACCATTGTTATTTGCTTTATATTCTTGGACCTGCCTCTTAATATCTCCAGGGAAGGTATCGAATTGCTTACAGCTGCCATTGCTTGCCACAGGAAAATACTATCTTAATTTCAGGGTTTTATAACTACGTAAAAATGTGTTCTGCTTTTTATGTGGTTTGATATTCTGTTCTCATATGCGGTCATTGACTTCAATAAAGTTAAACTGCCACCAACAAATCATAATATTCATAATGTCCACAGAACAGGGCATCACTTTTATGAGTCACGAAGCAACAAAGAACCCTATATAGGTAGTCCTTGACTTACAATGGTTTGTTTAGTGACCATTGAAGTTACAACAGCACTGACAAAAGTGATGTACGACTCATTTTTGCACTTACAACAGTTGACAGCATCCTCACAGTGACATAATAAAAATGTCGGCACTTAGCAACTGGAACGCGACTGTCCCTGCCAACAAGCAAAGGGGAAGCCAAATTCGCTTAATGACTACATGATTTACTTCGTAACTGCAATGACCTGCTTAACAACGTGGCAAAAAAGTCATAAAAATCAGATGCAACTCAGTTAATGTCGTGCTTAGTAACTGAAATTCCTGTGACAATTGTGGTTGAGGACTATTTGTACCCAAAAAACTACCTGTGCGTGCACACCTGTGTAAAACACTCACCAGCCCATGTTAAATTCTTCATCAGTTATCACTTACTATGTACAGACCTACAAATGGTCAAATGGTTATTGTACAGGGAGTCCTCAATTTACAACAGTTCATTTAGTGACCATTCCAATTTACAACTGCACTGAAAAAAGGGACTTACCACAGTTTTTCACACAACCAATGCAGCCTTGGTGATGTGATCAAAATTTGGATGCTTGGCAACTGCTTCGTATTTATGACGGTCGCAGTGTCCCAGGGTCATGTGATCAGCTTTTGCAAACTTCAGACAAGCAAAGTCAATAGGGAAGCCAGGTTTCACTTAATAACGTTACTAACTTAATTGTAATCATTAACTGTGGCAAGAAAGCTCGTAAAATGGGGCAAAACTCACTTAACCAATATTTCACTTAGCAAGATAAATGTTGGGCGTGACTGTGGTTGTAAATAGAGGGCTACCTGTATTCCTAGCATCCCCTATGACAGGGGTAGGCAACCTCAGCTCTTTTATGACTCATGGACTTCAACTCCCAGAATTCCTGAGTCAGCTATGCTGGGAGTTGAAGTCCCTGAGTCATAAAAGAGCCGAGGTTGCCTACCCCTGCCCTATGATGAAATCAGCTAGTCAGATCTTCCCCAGAACTGACGTCATACAGAAGACAGTGGCTGGGCGTTTAGTTTTAGCACCCTATGCCAGGGGTAGGCAATCTTGGCTCTTTTATGACTGGTGGACTTCAACTCCCAGAATTCCTGAGCCAGCCTGGCTCAGCTTGGAAACCTCTTTCCCCTCAGCATGGCTGGTTCAGGAATTCTGGGAGTTGAAGTCCACGAGTCATCAAAGAGCCCAGGTGGCCTACCCCTGCCTATGCTCTGCAAACGCCACTTTTTGCTTTGGGTTTCTATGAGCTACAATTCATGGCTAACGAATGTGGAGGCGCCAGAAGTTTTCAATCTTGAGAGCCCTGTACGGATTCAGCCAGGCCTGGATCGCAATCCGCCACTTTCCAGCCCGACCGTTGTCCGTGGCTTCAAACGTTATGCAACCGCCAGCCTGGTTTGCAAACCCTTGTTTACAGCTGAGCAAGCGGGCTGAGCAGGCTGCAACTTGCAAACCGGGGGCCGAGTGAAGCCAGCCGCTCTCCTTCTGCTGGAGGGCAGCCAGACGGTTGCGCAAACGGCGATTGGTTCCGCGGGGTTGCACGGCCCTCATTTGCACAGCGGCATCCACGGGCCGGGCGCGGGAAAGCGGGGCGGTTCTGCGCGCCTTCCCCGTTGCGCGAGGGCGGGCAGGAAGGGCGATGGCGGAGCCCTCTCGGCTGCGCTCGGGGAGAGGCGGTGCCGGTAAGGAACCGGAAAGGGCGCAAGGCGGGGGGAGGAGGTCTCTGGCCATGCGCAGAGTGCAGCTGTGCCTCCTGCAATGGCGCTGGGGGTCGGGGAAGGCCTCGGAAGTCATGCCAGGCGTCCCCGGGTCGGGAAGGGGCAGCAGCGGCCGCTTTGCGCCCTGCAAACTCCGCGCTGGTTGGCGCTGGAGACTCAGCAAGAGATGGGGCGCAAAAGACGGGGCGTTGCAATCGCTCTGCGGCCCTGCTGAGGAGGAGACACCCCCTGGCAACCGGGGGGGGGGTAACCGGGAAGCTCAGCTCTGCCTTTGGAGGGAGGGGGCCAAAGGCGGGAAAAAGCTCGGGGCTCCTTCCGCGCACGTGGAGAGAGCCGGTCGAGCACAAAGCTGAAAGTGCCTTATTAGTCCCGCTTTATGAGGCCTTCGCAAGGCCACATCTGGAATCCTGCATCCAGTTTTTGGTCACCATGATGTAAAAAAGATGTTGAGACTCTGGAAAGAGTGCGGGAAAGAGCAACAAAGGTGATTAGGGGCCTGGAGACTAAAACATATGAAGAATAGTGGCAGGAATTGGGTATGTCCAGTCTAGTGAAGAGAAGGACTAGGGGTGACATGATAGCAATATTCCAATATTTGAGGGGCTGCCACAGAGAAGGGGGGGGGAGGTCAACCTATTTTCCAAAGCCCCTGAGGGCAGGACAAGAAGCAACAAATGGAAACTAATCAAGGTGAGAAGGAACCTAAGGAGAAACTTCCTAGCAGAACAATCAACCAGTGGAAGGGCTTCCCTCAGAAGTTGTGGGTGCTCCATCACTGGAGGCTTTTAAGAAGAGACTGGACAGCCACCTGTCTGAAATGATATAGGGTCTCCTGCTTGAGCCAGAGTTGGACTAGAAGACCTCTTAAGGTCCCTTCCAACATTGTTATTCTATTCTGTTATTTTGGACCTGTGTTTCCAAACATGTCTGCCTGCCTTGCTTGGCCAAAGCTACGTTGACCAAACCCTGGGAGTTAAATCAAAGTCACCCACATTATGAGGCGTGAAGGGGCCCTCACACTAAGCTACAGAATGGTGGTTTGAACTTGGATGGTTTTTAATCTCCATGAAGAATTTTCATAGAATTTGCTGAAAATAACTTCCTATTTTTTTTTTGATGGTGATGGTGATAGGGAGGTTGTAGAAATAAAAACCCTAAAAATGTTGATTTCGTTGGATCCTTGTGGTTTTTGGTAGAGACGGCCTTGTCACATTTCTGAATAAATTCACATTTGGTAACAATTAAAGACTTGTGTCCTTTTAAGTAATGTTTATTACGTTGTAACTGATGTTGTTTAGAAATGTAAAGTTTTCTAAGGGCTGTGTTTGGGGACTAATTGTTGTTTTCCCTGCTTTAGTCCATCTGAAGTCTAAAGATAGGGCATTGTTTATTCAAACTTGAAACAATTTTTACTCTGAAAGCAAACTTTTGTGTGGTTTGTTTTTGTTAAGACAGGCTGGCAATAATTCCTTTTCCCTCTTGGCCATTTCCTACTTAATCGTATTTTGAATTCCCCAGTCAGCATCCTGGGACTTGGAAGTCCACACGTCTTAAAGGTTGAAAAACACTGATCTGCAAGACAGGATTGGATGGCAGTGTTTTCTATTTTTTTCCTCTGATTCTTTTGTATTCTGATTTTTGCCAAAAGAATTCAAGAAATCTTTTGATTTGATTTGAACCCTGGACTTCTGAACCGGAACTTAAACATGCTTCCTATTTCCTGTTGAATGACTAAGTTCACGTACGGTATTCCATCATGGTTTATTGGCCCGCTGCAGAAATCACAATTGGCTGGTGTATAATAGCGAGCCATAAATTATGTTTTCATATCACAGTGGTTGGTTTTTGGCTTAGCAAGCTGTAAAAAGAACTAAATTACGGGTAGTAAAATGGTGAATCTAGCCTTTGCTGCTTGTACTGATTTACTGTATGTATTTTATACTCTTAGCCCCATGTTGAAAAGTAAAAATGCTAGAAGGACTTTTTCCCCCAAATTTCCATGACATTTTTCCATAATACATCTGACCATTAATAGTGTATTAAAATTGTACTTTTGATTCTTACTTTCACATTTTCAGTCTGATCAGATTTATAATCTTTTTTTATTACTTTGTACTTTGTTTATTCTGGGTGATGCAGCATTTTTTTCTCAGTTGGTTTTATTTTAGCGTATTTATGACGGTCGCAGAGTCCGCCTGCAATACTGCCTGTTGGCAGAGTTCGCCTGCATTCTAACCACTGCGCCAGCACGGCTCATAATATGTCAATCTCATCTTCTCTGTGACAGCCCCTCAAACATTGGGAGACGGCTAGTCCCTCTCTTCATTAGGCTAGCCCAGAGTAGGGAACCTTGGCTCTTTTATGACTTGTGGATTTCAACTCCCAGAATTCCTGAATCAGCATGGCTGGTTCAGGAATTCTGGGTATTGAAGTCCACAAGTCATAAAAGAGCCAAGGTTCCCTAACCCTGGGTTAAACATACCTAGTTCCCTCTATCCTTCTTTGTGTGGTTTAGTCTCCAATCCCCTAATCCAGAGATCCCCAGCCTTTTGGGTACCAGGGACCGGTTATGTGGTTATGTGGAAAGAGGTTTTTCCACGGACCGGAGAGTGTGTGGTTTTGTGTGCTGCCTGCGGATGGGGCTTTCCTTGTTTGTGCGGACCGGTTGCTGGCATGCTGCAGCCCAGTACTGGTCTACAGACTGGGGGTTGGGGACCCCTGCCCTAGTTGCTCTTCTCTGCATTCTTTCTAAGGCAGTGGTTCTCAACCTGTGGGTCGGGACCCCATTTGGGGTCGAACGACCATTTCACGGGGGTCGCCAAACGCAGTCACCATTTTTTCCCTTTTTCCTTAGCTGTGCTACTCCCTTTTATTCTATTGGCTTTTGAAAGCCAATAGAAGAGACTCTCTTGAATAGAGTCTAATTCTATTGGCTTTCAAAAGCCAATAGGAATTGTCCAGGCTGTCTCTGCCCTGCTGAGCCCGCCAAAAGTCCCATTCTGCAAACGGTGCTGCACCAGTTGAGTAGTCCTCAACTTACGACCGGTTGAGTAGTCCTCGACTTACGACTGGTTGGGGGTCGCGGCATTAAAAAGGTTGAGAACCACTGTTCTAAGGTCTCAACATCTTTCTTTGTATCGTGGTGACTAGAACTGGACACAGCATTCCAAGTGTGGTCTTACTAGCGCAGTATAGAGCTATACTATCACTTCACATGGCCTTGAAACTATCCCTCTGTTGATGCAACCCAAGACTGGATTTTGAGAGTGGCAGGGGTGGAAATGATTCATTTCAGGTCATTTCTGCAGCAGGAGCCAAAAATTGCTTCCCTCTCCTGTCCCGTTAAACTTGAGTTATGAGTGTGTGTAGGAGGCACCTTCCTTCCCTCTCCATCATGCATCAAACTATTCTTCTGCTCCATTTAAAACCAGTGAACTCTTTGCAGGGGTCACCTTTTAAAATCAAACAAAAGCCTTTTATTGAGGCTCCCGATCCACTTTACATTAGGTGAGAGAGGCATTTTTGAAGACCTGCAGTCAGGGATTTCTCCTTCCTTTTTCCTTGCCGTAAAGAATCAGGGAGGTTATTTCCTTTGCATTAAATGGAACCCTTGCTTCCCCACCAGCCTGAACAGAAGGGAACGGCGGTGTGTATAAACGAGGCCAAGGCAGCTGCTATCTTGCTGGCCAAAACTCACTGTTGACATTGTGGCTGGAGAACCAGCCCATGTGACGTCCTGACCTTGTTTACCAGGCTTGGGGTTATTTAAGATGGCAGAGTCTCTTTCAGCTCTGCAGAAATGCCCAAGATAGAATTTCTGGAATCTAGCAAATGCAGGCGGCCTCTCTTTCTAAATTTACTCTCCGGATGGTTATCTGGTACCTATATTCTGGGGAAGGGGGAGAGGCAGAAGACCACCCCTCTAATGGCATGTTTTATAACTCTAGTTCCTCTCCCATCTACCCCTTTGTGAAGAAACGTTGCATATTGTTTTTAAAAAACCACTCGGGGTGGGTTTATTGCAACTTCCCAACAGAATATCCTCTTTATGTATGACTATGGACAATTACTTTTTTCTTTTTTTTAACGCAATTCAGCCGTGTTAAGTTCAGGAAGGTTTTACACTCTCCAGCTACTATGTGCAGCAGAGAAGAGAACCCTTTGTGGAAAGTAGAAAACTTAAGGCTGGCAGTTTTTTCACAAAAGGATTTTTATTTTGTCATAGCTGGAATTGCCCTCATCTTTTGGTGACCTCCTGTCTGGCTGACATATTAAGTGCTGTTCTGCTTCAACAAAATACTGCACAGGTAGTCCTTGACGTACGACCACAATTGAGCCCAAATTTCTGCTGCCCCATTTTGCAACCTTTCTTGCCACCGTTGTTAAATGAATCCATGCGGTTCTTAAGTTAGTAAGATGGTTGAATCTGGCTTCCCCATCAGCTTTGCTTGCCAAGGTCACAAAAAGGGGGTCACGTGACCCAGGGACACTGCGACCATCATCAATAGGTGCAATTTCTGACTGTCCGAATTTTGATCACGTGACCACGGGGGTGCTGCAGTGGTCGTAAGTGTGAAAAACAGTCAGAAGTCCTTTTTTTCAGGGCTGTTGCAACTTTTGAACGGTCACTAAAAGAATGGCTATAAGTTGAGAACTACTTGTACATCAGTTTATAAAGAGACCATAAATATGAAAATAGCATGTTTTATTTCTGCTTGCAAATACTTTGAACAGTAGTGCAATAGATAGGTGAATGTTCTTTGTATATGGTACGTTTAAGAAAACTGGGATAAAATGGAAGGGCTAAACAGTTCTGAGGCCTAGATTGAAAGGAAAGTAAATTTAGGACACTAGTACAGATACAAGGTTTTTTTCCCCCCTAAGAACCAGCATGGCTATACTCTTTGCTTCTATCCAGCTGTATTTTGCTGCAAAAAGAAGCTGATTTCAAGAAAAACATGAATGAAATGCTTGGGTTTTGGGATGGAGCTGTACATCGAAGATATTTGGCTGGCAAGAATTAAAAAATAAAATGGTTCCGGTTGAGGTTTTGCCCTGTGATGCATTCTGTCTTTTTAGACAGGTAGCTCATTGCATTAGCTCAAGGGAATGACTGTAAAGAAGGCTTATTTGCTGGACGTCTCTGGAATTTTAAAGTGAATTTTGAGTTCTTGGAAGTGTTTTTATGAGAATGAGAAATGCTCCGTCGATGATTCAAGCATTACTGGGAAGAAAAACAGTGTACTTTGTGGAACGCCTTGTCTCTTGCTGGTGATGGAAGCAAACCACGTGTTTTGTCAACTTCAATCGGTACATAAAGATGTTAAAAATAAGATTGCTGTTAATCCTGGAGGGCCTTCTTCCACTCAGAAATATGTCAGCATGTTTAGTAATAACGATATCTCCTTTGTAGAGTGGGTCTCCTTTACCTTATTTGGTCATACGAAGAATGGTTACAGTAATTGGGTAGGTCTAGAAGGATTGGGGAGACGTGATAGCAGTATTCCAATATTTGAGGAGCTCCTACAAAGACGAGAGGCTCAGGCTATTTTCCAAAGCACCAAAATGGTATAAGGCAGGGGTTCTCAACCTTGGCAACTTTAAGACTTGTGGACTTGAACTCCCAGAATTCCTCAGCCAGCAAAAGTCTTAAAGTTGCCAAGGTTGAGAACCCCTGGTATAAATAAGGTCTTCTGCCTTGGGCAGAAAGTTGGACTAGAAGATCTTCCAGACCTATGATTCTACGATCTGAGGTTTTGTACTGTTTTGTACAAAACTACAGCACATATAACTCAGTTACTGAATTACCTCTTTTTTTGGATTCACACAATGTATTCAGCTGTAGAATGTACTATGTTTGAACAGTGTGCTAGGTTACAAACCACGGTGTAAAAAAGTGTGGGGTTTTGATCATCTTGACATTTTTCGCTCACGTTGCGGGCTCTTTTGGGAGCCAGAATTTAAGCAACCTGTCTCAAGGCTGACCCTTAATATTCTTCCTTCTTCCAGATTGTCTTTTTCTGGTGGACATTAAAGATGAAAATCTGGACAGTCCAGAAACAGGGCCTTGCAAGGCAAAACTTATGGAGGAAGCCTTATCTGCTGCTGAAGAATTCTCTCTTCCAGGCCAAGAGAACGTAAGTATACTTTATTCTTTATAGATCAAAGCATCCATACTGCTGCCTTTTGCTGTCTTCCTCCACCACAGGAACTGTGCGAGATAGAATGAGCTGAGTCTGTCCCTAGGCCAACTGTTGACTTTTGGAGTCTTCCTACTCCTCATCCTGCACCTTATCTCTAACCATATTGAGTGGAACAGACCACAGAATATATAACATAGAACAAAGTTTCTTTGGGGTTGATGGGATGGATACACGTAATCACAGAACTCATAGAAAGATCAAGGTTGATATTCAGCACCTTCCAAGAATAACCTCATCTGCTCCTTTGGAAAGAAATAGGCAGCGAGCAGGAACAGAGGCAGCCGAAGGCAGATGATGGTTGGTGATGCACAAGTCAGATAGTGATTGAGGACAACAAATTTTATGCTGGTAGAGTTTTCTGCTGACTGAAGGATGGGTGATAGCCCTTCAATGTAGTGGGGTTGGAACAGCGCAACGCCAGCGATATTGATATTGTTGCTGTCGTTCAAGATAAGATCAGATAGGTAGTCCTTGACTTACCACTACAATTGAACCAAACACTTGTGTTGCTAAGCGAGACATTTGTTAAATAAATTTTGCCCCATTTTATGACCTTTCCTGTCGTAGTTGTTAACTGAATCGCTGCAGCTGTTAAGTTAGTAACAAGGTTGTTAAGTGAATCTGGCTTCCCCGTTGACTTTGTCAGAAGTTTGCAAAAGTTGGATCACATGACCCCGGAACACTGCAACCATCAGAAATATGAATCGGTTGCCAAGTATCCAAATTTGGATCATGCAACCATGGAGATTCGGCAGAGGTGGTAAATGGGAAAAATGGTTATGATTCACATTTTTCCAGTGCCATTGTAACTTTGAAATTTCCTGACGGTGAGAACAATTAATCAGTGGAACGACTTGCCTCCAGAAGTTGTGGGTACTGGAGGTTTTTAAGAAGAGACTAGACAGCCATTTGTCTGAAATAGTATAGGGTCCCCTGCTAAAACAGGGGGTTGGACTAGAAGACCTCCAAGATCCCTTCCAGCTGTATTGTTATTCTATGAGGTTTTCCAAAGCATTTGGATTTGTCAAGCGGAGAACATGTTTGTTTGTGAAAAACATGAACAGTTCATTATCCAGAATGCATGCAGGCCCATCGATAGGACCGAAGTCCTTCTTTGGTTTGGACTGATTCTGATCTGGGAGAAGAATCTGCATTGTAAATAGAGAGTTTTTACTATATGTTCTTTGACTGCTTGGATACGGATGATTTCCTTTTGGTACCAGAGGGGTTGTTTTTTGATTCCAGCAAATTGAGTATTTTAGGATGTATCGTGTTGTCATGGAAAATGTGAACTCACAGGCTTGATGGAGAAGAGATTGCAAACACTGGCAGTTGATGCCTGCAGTGAAAGCTGTTCCCAGCTGGAGAGGGAGGTTGTGTATATGTCCATCTGGAGACTTCATCCTTTTGGTCTCTTTTGGGAGGGTACATTACTGCTTTGCACGTTTCCCTGATGGGCCAAGCAAGAAAATGCTGCTGAACTGGAGCAATAGAACAGCAAGTAGAAATGAGGGCTTTGTGCAATTTGACTTTGTAGCCGTTCTCCCCGTGTTGGAGAAGGCAGGAAAAACCAAAGGTACAAGTACAGATTAGGCGAAGCCTGGCTCAAAAACAGCAACTGTGAGAGAGACCTTGGAGTCCTAGGGGACGATCACTTAAACATGAGCCAGCAGTGTGCGGCAGCAGCCAAAAAAGCTAATACAATCCTGGGTTGCATAAACAGAGGCATAGAATCAAAATCATGTGAAGTATTAGTACCGCTTTATAAATCTTTGGTAAGACCCCACATGGAATACAGCATCCAGTTTTGGTTACCACATTACAAAAAAGAATTGGAGACTTTGGAAAAAATGGAAAGAAGAGCAACTAAGATGATTAAAAGCCTGGAGACAAAAACATATGAAGAACGGTTGCAGGATTTGGGTATGGCCAGTCTGGAGAAAAGAAGGGCTAGGGGTGGTATGATAATAGTATTCCAGTATTTGAGGGGCTGCCCCACAGAAGAGGGGGTCAACTTGTTTTCCAAAGCACCTGAAGGCAGGACAAGAAACAATGGATGGAAACTAATCAAGGAGAAAAGCAACCTGGATTAAGAATTAAGGAGAGACTTCCCAGCGGTGAGAACAACTAACCAGCGGAGCAGCTTTGCCTTCAGAAATTGTGGGTGCCCCATCAGTGGAGGTTTTAAAGAAGAGGCTGGTCTGAGATGGTAGAGGGTCTCCTGCTTGATCGGGGGTTGGATAGAAGACCTCCAAGGTCCCTTCCAGCTCTGTTCTGATTGGGGCAGGTTTTGCATAGCTAAGGAAGAGTCAGCTTTGCATAAAATATACTTAGATTGCCTCCTAGTGCCCAAGAAGCACAGTTGCTTCCCAGGCTGGTCTGGAGTAACCACGCTTACTGGAGTTGCCACGATCAGCAAACAGAACTGTCAAAAAACAATCATTGCATTAAGGATTCCCCCCCATCTTTGTCTAAGTTCATGAAGTCTGTATGAATTTGAATTAAATTAGAATGAAAATAGAAAGGCCGGAATCTCAAAGGCAGAGAAATTGGGTGCCTGGATGGTTTGAGAAATGTTGCATTGAAAAGCCCTGTTTCTTTTGTGATTTGTTTGTTTGTTTGTTTGATTGCAACGTGATTTCAGCAGAGGAATCATGTTTATTATTTTCATCCGTTGTTTATAAGAAATGGAGCCACAAATAAACATTTTCAAGATGTAGCATTGTTAAGGTTCATTGTTCAGGTTGAGTGAAAGCACGGTTGCTTAATCCAATTTTTTATTAACTCAGTTATTCAGAGTAACGTTTGCAGGCAGCCAATAACTTGGCTATATCCGATGGATGGATGGATGGATGGATGGATGGATGGATAGACGGACAGACAACAGAAAAAATTGAATGAGAGGAAGATCTTTCTGCATGAGGCCATACAATGAATGTGTGAAAAACTTTCAGTATCCTAAAACTCAATAAATAATGGCATCATGCAAAAACATCTGCTGTTTCTCCTTCCTTCCTTCCTCCCTCCCTCCCTCCCTCCCTCCCTCCCTCCCTCCCTCCCTCCCTCCCGAGACATTGCTTCCCATAACATATAAATATTGGAATCTGTAATTTGTTTTGAAAATAGACATTCTGCCCATTCCTTTAGCAGCTCTAGATAGTTCCAAACCAACAAAACCATCCTTTTCTAAAATCCTAAATTGATGTAATAGCAATACACCTTTTCCCATATTTGGAAAATTGATGCCATTTGCAAAATCAAATTCCAAACTGAGTAGTTCATAGGGCCCCCCCAAAATATTGTACAGAAACAAAACTAAACAAAAATAGAAAGCCAATGTTAATATCCGCTCTAAAATGTGGTTGATAGAAAAGGCCCAATTTAAATAGCATTGCTGTTCATTAAACGTTTCCTGTATTTTAATTCTTGTTTTTGTTTTTGTACACTTTGAGAACATGAAGATAAATATTCTGTTTGATTGCAGATTAAAGTGGAGGCTTCGTCAATGAGCTTCCTTCCTCTGTACAGAGATGACAGTAAAGTCAGCCTCCTGGTATTAACTGATCCCCAAGATAAGAACAGAGGTTAGTAAATAGATTGTTTTTTTTTTTCTTCCTCTCTTTTATTTCAGCTTGGCTCTGAATGATCTGATGCAGGGAACAGAATTTGGCACCTGGGATGTGGGCATATGGAAAACCATTTGGGAATTAGATTCAAGCTACTCTGGACTGGCTGGGAGATGAACAGAACTTGGCTTCTAAAAATGCAAAATGCTTTTCGAATAGCTACTTCCCTGAAACCTGTCTGCTCTTCTCCTCAAAATGACATTTTCAGTCCTCCAGGATTTTCTGTGACCAAATAGCAAATAGATCTTGCAATAAAATGTTGTGGCATCAGAATTCTAAATTCAGAATTCAGAGAGTAAAACATATGATGAAGGGTTGCTCCAACAATGGAAGTCTTTAAGAATAGACATTTTTTCTTCTAGGCTAGATAGTTATTTAGTTCTTGCATCACTCAATTTCAAGAGAAAATGACTTTTTTCTGCCTAAGAATTGGTAAGTAGCGGAAGGAAGCCAAGAGAACATTACAGTCTTGGTATTTTATCTTATAGATTTGCATGTACTTTTGAATTTTAATGTGTAACCCAATATATAATGTACTCTTCATCACTGAGAGTCTAACTGTTCTCAGTCATGATTTGCCAGTTTTAATTTGGGAACAGAGAGAGCCTTTCTGCATTGATTTTATTATCTCCCTGAGTCAAAATTTTAAGATTAGCAATTTTCCTTTAGCCTGATTGCGATCGTAATATGGTGATGGCTTAGGGCGGGGAAGAAAGGAACAGGCTGTTTCTTCAGATAAGCTGATATATATAATAAGGAAAAAACCAAGTTTTAATATAGTGGTTACAAAAAGTTTTTATTGTCATTTTCTGGAACCCTAACCCTATCCCTGGACTGGCTGTCCAGTCTATTCTTAAAAGCCTCCAGTGATGGAGAACCCACAACTTCTGGAGGCAAGGCGTTCCACTGGTTAATTGTCCTCACTGTTAGGAAATTTCTCCTTAATTCCAGGTTGGTTCTCTCCTTTATTAGTTTCCATCCTTTTTTCTTCTTCTTCTCTTGCCTTCTGGTGCTTTGGAGAATAGTTTGACCCCCTCTTCTTTGTGGCAGCCTCTCAAATATTGGAACACTGCTATCAGGTCTCCCCTGGTCCTTCTTTTCACTAGACTAGCCCAAACCCAATTCAGTCAAGAAAATCCAGTTGTCTTTTTTGAAAGCGTCTCTGGGACCACCATGATCTGGATGACTGAGAACCTCCATAGATGTGACACATTACTGTGTTTTGCATTCAGAATACTAGGAAGTGAAGGAAGAAGATGCAGATCCAGTGGAAGGGATCCACCACATTATAGTGAATGTAGCTTCCTGCCCAGACTTGGAAGATCTTCCCTTCCTACTCATGCCTTAAGGAAAGGGCATAGAAGAAAGCAGTACAATGTGACAGTTGACATTAAGTCGACTCTCTCTGAATTATTGAATTATTTAGACTTTCCATGGATGTGTGCATGTGTCACCTGCCTACAGACTTAGTGCCAAACCAGCCTGCTCTTCAATGCAAGCATTCTCACAAATGTAAAGTAAATGTAAAGTTAATAATAGGGTTGTTAAATGAACCTGGCTCCCTGAGAGCAATTGAAGAGGAACCAGGCTAATTTGAACTTATCTCTGGAAATGTAAAAGATTTTTTTTTAAAAAAAGACAAAATAATTGATAACGGACTTTCCTTAGATGAAATATACTTCTTTCCCCACATGTGTGCTATTGTATAATTGTGCCCCTTAATAAATATCCTGTAACAGCCCATCCCTTTCCTTGGTGTTCCTTGGCAGTTTTGCTCTTTCTTTGATGTACTGTGTTTGTATTTCCCTGCTGTCTTTTGAATTAGTATCAAGGCCTGTTAATTTATTACCCTAAATTGGAAAAACAATCCAAGGCCTGGGAACACATACAGTATGCCCCTTTCCAAAACTCTGCTGTGTCTTCCAGAGCATTTAAAAAAATTGGCTGGTCAATTGTGATTTTTTTAAAAAAAAAATTTTAGAGGAGCCAAAAAAGTAGTGACTGAATATAAGAAAATAAAGACATTATAATTACTCTTCAGTCAAATCAATTCAGTCAAAATATATTTTTATTCAGAGACAGCTGTTTTTCATTTTGGTGGGGTCCAGATCCTAACTCATCGTATAAGTCAGTGTTTCTCAACCTTGACAATTTTAAGGCATGTGGACTTCAACTCACAGAATTCCACAGCCAGCATTGCTGGCTGTGGAATTCTGGGAGTTGAAGTCCACATGCCTTAAAATTGTCAAGGTTGAGAAACACTGGTATAAGTAAACCAGGGGTCTTCAAACTTGGCCCTTTTATGACTTGTGGACTTCAACTCCCAGAATTCCTCAGCCAGGCACGCTGGCTGAAGAATTCTGGGAGTTGAAGTCCACAAGTCATAAAAGGGCCAAATTTAAAGACCCCTGAAGTAAATGATCCGTGGTGCAAAATATTTTCAAGACAAAGATGGCGAGCTTTGTAAGCAACTTTTACAAAGCAGAGAAGAGCAACAAATATGATAAAGGTTCTAGAGCACACGTGTCAAACTCACTGCATCATGTAACGTGTCGCAAAAGCCAAGCCTGCAGATTCTTTTGTGTAGACTGCAGTAGGATTACATGTGTTAATACTTTTCTCTTCCTTCTCCCAAGACTTCTTAAATTCCACCGCTACTGAAAAATTGAGGAAGAAATATGTTTTATTGCTGACAGAAATGTGAAAATAAGGCAGGGGAAGAAGTTCAGACAAGTTTCCAAAAATTTATGAGCACTCAAGGCTCTCTTGAGACAATCTTATTTAAATAGAAGTTGCTCGCTTCCTTCATTCTTCCTTTATTTCCCTTCTTTTCAATAGTTTTAGCAATTTACTTGAACAACTCCTGGCGGTCTCCTGAAGATATAATCAAGACGTCTGACCCTTTCCAGAAAGGTCTGAAACAGGTGAAAACATAATTTAAGCCGTTGATCCCCAAACTTGGCGACTTTGATTCTGCGACCTCACTTTAGATATTTTAAGCCATGCCAGTTATCTTCTTAAAAAATAATGCTGAATTATAGGGAGTCTTCAACTTACGACCACAGTCGAGTTGAAATTTTCTGTTGCTAAGAGAGACAGTGAATTATGCCCCATTTTACCACGTCTCTTGCCACAATTGTTATGTGAATCCCTGCAGATGTTAAGTTAGTAACATGGTGTCATGGTTCCGACAGATGAAACTCTTCAAAGAACTTGTTTACCTTAAAGAATCTTTATTTGAGAAGCATAGCTTCTGGCACTAACATAGTTGAAGCCAAAAACTGGATTCCCCTCCCCTGAGCACATAGTATCAAAGCACAATTTCCTCCTTCAATTAACAGTCATAAATCACATTCTCCAATTAGCTTGAAATGCAGACTTTTCCTCCTGTTCTGCTACCGCCAATTCTTATCATCTCTTATTTCAAGCTCTGAATTCACACACCAGTACAATGTTGTTATGTCTAACTAACTCCCACCACTTTCCGCCTCCTCCCCCAGCATCATCTAATTCTAAGAGTAAAGCATAAGAAAGAAAAAAGCTGCATCTTCAAATGTTGTCAAAGCAAGAACATCCCATGTTAGCAGCATTGACACCTGATTCTTAAGGGAGGCTGGCTTCCTCATTGGCTTGGTTGCAAAAAGGGATCCCCTGACCCCGGGGACAGCCGTCATAAACACCTGCCAGTTGCCAAGGGTCCAAATTTTGATCACATGACCTGGGGATGCTGCAACAGTCGTTAAGTGTGAAAAACGGTCATAAGTCACCTTTTTCAATACTGTTGTAACTTCAAATGGTCACTAAACAAATTGCTGTAAGTGGAGGGCTACCTGCATTCTTTGTGCTGTCTTATATGTCCTCATCTCACTTGTCTTTCAAGGTTCAGACTTTTCAAGAGAGAATTGTTCTCTTTGTCCTCAACTGCATCGTTTTTGGCCTGTTTGAAAGGAGCTTGACTGACAATACAATCTTTGTGCCTCATGCGAAGAAGGAACATGCCAAAATATTCTGGAAGAGTGGAGAAGCCGCTGCTTTTTATACCGTCAAAAGAAAAGGTATGTCTTTCTGAGGGCCCTTCCCAGTTCTAAGCGCATGTATAAGAGTCAAAAAAGAACCAGACGAGTTTGTATGTTCCTGTCTTGACTGAATTAAATAAATAAAATTTAAAAACGATTAAAAGTTGGAAGGGACCTTGGAGGTCTTCTAGTCCAACCCCCTGCTCAGGCAGGAAACCCCATATCATTTCAGACAAATGGCTGTCCAGTCTCTTCTTTAAAACTTCCCAGTGAATGCTCCTCCAGAAGTTATGGGTGCTCCCTTACTGGAGGTTTTCAAGAAGAGACTGGATAGCCACCTGTCTGATATGGTATAGGGCAGTGTTTCTCAACCTTGACCATTTTAAGGCATGTGGACTTCAACTCCCAGAATTCCACAGCCAGCAATGCTGGCTGTGGAATTCTGGGAGTTGAAGTCCACATGCCTTAAAATGGTCAAGGTTGAGAAACACTGGTATAGGGTCTCCTGCTGGAGCAGAGGGTTGGATTAGAAGACCTCCAGCGCCTCTTCCAACTCTGTTATTCTTGCATGGTTCAGATTTCCCAGAATCTTCCTGTAGCAGAAATAATTTCTGGGTTCCAATCCCATGGCAGACCCCATCCTCATCTTTCTGTCATTTTCTTTTGTCTCATATATAGATTTTTTTAAAAAAATACCATTTGTATTGTATAATATAATGAAAGGAGTGCCTGCTGCCAGTTAAGCCATGTCTTTAGTTAATTTGAAGCCACCAGGGATGCTGCCTTCTTCCCAGTGTCAGCAGGCATACACAGAATCCCTTAATCGGTTGACTTTGGGCTCCTGTCAGCAGCGTCCTGCTTGCTCCGGTTTGACGAGGACACTCGCTCCTTGCAAAAGGTCTCTCCAGGCCAACCTTTCCAAGCCAGCTTGTTAATTAGGGGACAAGCTGGCATGTACAATTTGGTTTGGTTTGCGTCCTTTAGATGTGGGGCAGGTTGTGGTAGGACTTTCTCTGGGCTGTTGGATGTTTCAAGAGCGTTCATGGCTGCCTGCTTTCTCTGCCTTGTAATTGCTGTTTACCACTCTGCTGGCTTATAGGTTGGTCATTTAGCCTAACCAAACAGATTGAAGGTCTCCCGGGGAGTAGGCTACAAGAGGGCATCTTTCTTTGACTTCCCTCTTAGAACATAGAATCATAAGGCTGGAAGGCACCTTGGAGGTCTTCTAGTCTAACCCCCCTGCAGAAAACCATATATCATTCTGGACACCCACAACTTCTGGAGGCAAGCTGTTCCGCTGACTAATTGTTTTCATGGCCAGGAAATTTCTTCCTAGTTCTCGGTTGCTTCTCTCCTTGATAAGAACCAATCAGAAAGAGCTGGAAGGGAACTTGAGCGTCTCCTAATCCAACCCCTCGCTCAGGCAGGAGGCCCTATGCTATTCTGGGCCCCAAACAAGGAAGAATCCCAAATCAATGAGTTCTGGAGTTTTTAAATATGTGGGCACCATATCTGGGCAGCAAATGGGTGGATGGCAAAAGATACAGAAAAGGAACTCTTGTGTGCCATCTCGTGGGAGTTCAAATTTCTGCATCTTAGAGATTATATCCTAGATCAGGGATTCTCAACCTTGGCAACTTTAAAAGACTTGTTGACTTCAACTCTCAGAATAATTCTGTTATTCTCTTAAGTGAATGGTTGAGATGCTAAAAGGCTGGTTGTGTTGACCATGACAGGTCAAAGTGGAATGGGACTACAGAAATCACACAGTCCCCTTTTAAGGCCATGGTGGACCTCATGCACAGACTCTGCCAGCTTCCCAAAATGAAGGGTATCTTATGGCCAGAGTATGACATTTCTCTTGGACTGCCAGACAGTCCGATTTGCGTTTGGTTTCTTGACTCATGGGAGACCTTATGCTTTTCTTAGCTCTGCCCATATGTTCCAACCGTATGAGTAACGGGGCAGCAATGAGACCCACCCAAAGTGTTGCCTTATGCTGCAAAATTCTTGGACAGTTAAGAACTGGGCTGCCTTGTAAATGTAACAGCAAACACATATTTTTCATGATTGGGCAGTGAATGAGGCAGTGAGTAAGCCTGATAATCTGCTGATGAAATCAGGGAAGGAAATGAGAGCTTACGTCTACTGGACCTCAGGACTTCTCTAAAACAGGAGTCTGTTTTAGCCAGTCGTGCAGAGTTCAATGACCTCTTAGAAAACACAATAATAGGGCTAGAAGGGACCTTGGAGGTCTTTTAGTTCAACCCCGTGGCTGAGGAATTCTGGGAGTTGAAGTCCACAAATCATAAAAGGTCCAAGTTTGAAGACCCCTGTTCTATTTATTGGTCCTTGTTCTCTGTGGAGAGGAAATCCATTTAAGTTCTTCAGAACTTTGAATCAGGCAAGAGATGACCCAAAACATCTCTTGAAGAACAAATGAGAAAGTCCCAAAAGCAGGCCTTATATTTCAGCTACGAGAAAGAGATTTATTCAGTAAGAAATTGTTCATTAGTTTCCTTTCTGGGATGTTTTGTGTTCTATTTGCAGGAAATTTGTGTGACGGGCACACCAGCCAATGTTACCTGCTCCCTGTTTTGGACACCATGTTCGTACGAAAGAAATTTAGAAGACGTGGACTTGCGATGCAGATGCTCCAGGATTTTTGCCAGTCTTTCCCCTCTGAGGAGGCCTTGGGACTCAGCTGCCCTCTTTCTGCTGAAATGGAGAAAGGTAAAGTTTGAGGGTTCAATAAAAGGAGTAGATTTTAAAGATTACGAATGCATCCAGGTACGGATCCTAGCAGTCCGGGCAAACAGCCCCAAGATAAATATTTGGCATTTTGAGGTAGAGCTGGGAAAGAAATCAACAGAGGCAGATTTTTGCCAAAATAAGCCTCAGTGGGCAGCCTACAGGCCTCTTATATACCATTTGCTGTCCGTGAAGATCCACCAAAATTTAGGGGCAAAAGGACTGTGTTTTGGAGCAAAAAATGTTAACATTTCCTTGAAGTTCTTTCAACTATCGGAACCACGACAGCCTGTTTGTGTGCGTTTTGAAGAGGGACATTCCACAATGCAATATATAACTTCAAGACCCAATTTCAAACTTGCTGTTTAACTTTTTTTCTGACCTGTAAGTAATCCTCACTGTACGACGACAACGGAGCCCAAAATTTATCTTGCTAAGTAAGAAATTTGTTAAGTGAGCTTTGCCACAGATGCTAAGTGAATCACTGCATCCAGAACTTCAGAACTGGGTTGTAGGTACCTTTTGGGGGGCCCTAGTAACTTCAAATGATTGCTAAGCGACCAGTTGAAAGTCGAGGACTGCCTGAATCCATTTTTGAGTGCAGCAGATAGATAATGTTCATTCCTACACATGCAATTTTCAGTGCTGTCTTCAATTACGCCAATGCAATCTTTCTTAACTTATTTTTGTTGGAATAATCTGTGACATCAGTCATCCTGTTGGAGGCTCTTCTCCTTATGAACAGCTGTGCAGTGTCTACTCAGATAAATTACTTTTTTTTTTTTAAAGAAAAGGGGAGGCCCAGATGCTGTGTGAAGAAAAACTGATGGTGGACCGGAAGCCATAAATCAAACCTTCCAGACAGGAGTTTTCACTGCTTCCAAATGCTGTTAGTAAATGTTATGCAGGAATCCTTAGACGTCCCAGGCAAATATTCATCAGATCACATTCTTAAGGCCGCCTCGCAGGCTCAGATATATAAATGAAGTGAAATAAAACATTCAAGTTGTGGTGTAAAGGGTCAGTTCCACACATCAAATGGTAATTTCTCCTTGCTGTTTCTCCTAAGAATAACAGACTGAGATGGAAAGGACTTGGAGGTCTTCTAGTCCAACCCCCTGTTCAAGCAGGGGACCCCACCGTTCTAGATAAATGGTTGTCTAATCTCTTCTTAAAAGTGTCCAGTGATGGAGCACCCACAACTTCTGGAGGCAAGCCCGTTCGTTACTTCTCGCATTCCTGCTCTTCCCTATTTAGTTTGTCAGAAGTTCTTGGAGACTCACCCAGTGGAGCAGCCTCGGCTATGGGAAGCGGAAGCCCCCGGGGACTGGACCCAGCGCGTTAACATCTGGCTAAAATTGCAGCTGGAGCAAAGCTTTCCAAAAAGTGAGTTGAAGAATCAGGATATTTGACACACCCGTTCATTGATTTGCAGAGGGCCTCCTGAGAACAATTAATCACTTTTTGGGGGAAATAGATATTTTTTGCCCTACTGTACCTGCATATGTTTCCCCAATCAGGTCCTGGTCCTTCTTTGCAAGAAAAGGCAATATAGCAGTCCTTGATTGGTGAATGCCTTGTTTAGTGATTGCTCGTAGTTACAGAAGGGATGAAAGAAATAACTTTAGCCACCAACCCTTGCATTTACCACCTTCCCAAGTCGGTAAAGCATTTATGCAAAGATCAGTTTAAAGGTAGACCCCCAATTGGGAGCAGCCAGTTGCTATGTGAGATCATAATTGTGCTTTTGATCAAACTTCAGCTTTCCTTTGCTTTACAGACCTGCAAAGGGGCGAAATGTGAAGATTGATTATTTTTTTTTTGTCTCTGTTGTAACTGCAGGGACTACTTGCACTTGTAAATTTCACAGATGCTCTTTGTTACTGGATAAAATTATTGCCTGTTTTTTAGAGTCAATCTTGGCAAATTTAACTCCTGCTTTTAATCACTGCACCAAACTGGCTCTCTGTGTGATGAATTTATTTATTACAGGTTGTCTTGAGTCTGATATCTTTCTGAGATATTCAGATAATTCAGTTTTTGTCTGTTTTTTTTTTTAACCTATCAGAAATAGCCAGTAGAGTTCCCAGAGTGATTTCCTATGCGATTCCCTTAGATCAGAGGTGAGCAACTATGGGAACTTTATGACTTCTGGACTTCAACTCCCAGAATTGCTGAGCATGGCTGTCTCAAGAATTCTGGGAGTTGAAGTCCGCAGATCACAAGGGGGGCCATAGTCGCCCACCCCTGCCTTAGATCCTTCCCATTTTGGACTGCCTGATTTTCTCCTTTTTTAAGGCTTTTACCATTTCCCTTTTTTGCCCTCTGACAAAATCCATTTGCTGTTGAAACAAGAAACCCATTGAAAAAACAACAACAGCAATAAAACAAGGGAACAGATTAAAAAGACACAAGTACACACACAAAACTCACATCTTGCTGCCGGCCAAGGCAATTGTTTATCTTGTTAGGTAACTTCCAGGGAACTAGAACTCTGCTCTTCCTAATTCCCCTCTTTCTGCTTTTTAAATATTTTTTTTCCCTTTACTGAAGCTTAGTAAAATTTTTCAAGGAACAAAAAAGGTAGCTGATTGGAATCTGGGAGGAGATCAGAAACAATCTCTTTATGCTGTCTCAAAACCTTCCCCTTCCCCCCTACATGTAAATGCAGGATTGTATGTTGCATCACTGGTGTCACCTGGTGGCAGAGGTCCACAACTGGCCACGAGAAATATTTGCCGCTTTGTAATCCTAAATGAGTTGGTTTAGACTCCAGATTCCTTGTTGCAGTTGGGCAGGGATGGAAGCCTTGAGCAGGTAGGAGAATAGCTGTAATTCTGAACAGTCCTTAGCAGCTGTTCAAAGTGAGGAGGGACTTTCCCAGAGCTACTTAAAAGAAAAGTCTTTTCTAGATGCCGATCGAAGTTCTCCCACGCCGAAGGGTCCAGATGATGAAGCAGAGGAAGAACGGACAAATACAGTGAGCTGATAAAACTGGTGTCTTGTATAATGTGCTTCAGATTATTTGATCAGAGTTGGAAGGACAATGAAAGGCTAGATTTATAAGCTTGAAGGTGGAGGTTTGTTCTCCGAGCTTGTGGGTTGCTTTCCAGATGTTTCGTTACCAGGCTAGATAACATCTTCAGTGGTATTTAGGGAATGTCAGTGTCCGTGTTCTTCTGTTTATAAGGGCTTCAGGTGTGGGTGTGTCAAGGGAGGATCTCACCAGCGCAGTATAAAATGGTGCTAACACTTGGAACAACAACCCTTTGTTGATGTAGCCTAGGACTGCACTGTCCTTTTTTTATAACTTCATGAAGACAACTCTCTCTTGTGCCCTGCCCACTCAGACCATGCCCTGTGTGGATTAAAATGATCATCAGTTGAACGGTATTAGTTGTTTCCATAATTTCTAATGTACAGATCTCCTGCTTCAGTAGGGGGTTGCACTAGAAGACCTCCAAGGTCCCTTCCAGCTTGGTTATTTTTTTATTCTGTTACTCTGTGACTTGGTTATTCTACATCTGTTTTCATTTAAGAGACTTGGCTGTATCCCACATCTTGAAGTTTTGCCCGACAAACCCATGGCACGTCTTAGTGACCGGAGAGAGGCCCCGGACCTTTCTTCTCAGAACAATGAACCTCAAGTTCCGTTGAAAGCTGAAGAACAGAAGATTTTGAAGAAAAGAGCAGACAGAGGAGAACCAGCTGGAGAAAGGGTTGTGAAGCACTTGAGGACAATGTCCTAATTTCTATAAATAGAAGCAAAACAAAACACAAGACGGAACCACCGGAAAGCTGAGGATTGAGTAGCAAGTCAGAACACCTCTAGTGAATATTTCTTAATCAATGGACATATTTCAGTGACTCTACACCAGAGTTTCTTCACCATGGCAATTTGAAGAGGACTTTCAACTCCCAGAATTCCCCAGCCAGCTGGGAGTTGAAGTCCACATACAGGTAGTCCTCGGGTTAACGAATGTAATGGAGCCTGCCAATTCCATCCGTAACTCGAGGGTTCGTAGGAGTGAATCATGTACCTTGAACGCGATTACTCCCTGCTTTTGCCCACCCATTCGCTAATCAAACACATGGGTTGTTCAGCACACACGAGGTATCTCAGGGTGGGGAAGGCCATGGGGGGGGCCTAATGATGGAATGGGCCCCCAAGGCCTCCCCGACCACTGAGATACCTCATGCTTCCCTCCCCCTCCCTTCCTGCCCTGCATGATTCACTTACCTTGCAAAGATGTTGCTGCGGTTTCTTTGCCTTTGAGGGAGTTGTAAATGCTTTTTGAAGTCCATGAGTCATAAAAGAGCCAAGGTTGCCTACCCCTGGGTTAAGGGAATCACTGCAGTTGTTAAGTTAGCAACATGGTTAAGTGAACCTGGCTTCCCCATTGCTTGTTGGAAGGTTGCAAAAAGTTCACCCCGGGACATGGCAATCATCATAAGTGTAAACCAGTTGCCAAGCATCTAAATTTTGCTCATGTGACTGTGGGGAGATGACAACGGTCACAAGTGTGAAAAATGGTCCTAAGTCACTTTTTTCAGTGCTGGTATAACTTTGAATGGCCACTAAATGAACGGTTGCAAGTCAAGGACTTACCTGTTAAAGTTTCAATAGCTTCCCGGGTTCTCCTAGCAATCCATTAATTTTCATTCTCCAATTGTTTAGTAGTTGATCAAAGATCACTCTAGATTGTTGGATGCCTACAATGAAGGTTCCTGTTTTGCAATCCCGCTTCTTAGATCTTGATCTAATTCAGATTGATTAGGTTTGCCTAAATGAGACCATTCTTGGCCTGATCTTTAAGGAAAAAGCACTGTGGGTTGCCGAAACCAAATAAATACTTGGCCTCATTTTGAAACAGGAGAAATTGTTTGTTGGTACTTGGTTGCTGGATGGTTGAATCCAGTGTGTCACATCAGCTTTTTCTCTACCTTCCACCCTGTCCTTTTCTCCCCCATTAAAGAATGTAATTTAGGATCATTGGGTGGGTCACTTGTTCCCGGAAGAATTAGATAATCATTGACAGAAAGGAGTCTAGGTCTCGGGACAGATTTGATTATTCTTCTAAGACATATCCTGATTGTTAGCAATGATCTAGCCAACCATTAAGTACTTTGTAGGAAGAATTAACACTTCTGATCTGGGGAACAGAGGACAGTGGATTAGTAGGTTTTTGTGAATCTCTAAAAAAGAATGCAAATGTATCTGGAACTCAGCGTAGTGGAACCTTAGTAATTAATGATGTTATAAACTGAGCTGGCATGGCTTGTAAGTTCATCAGGTCTGCTAATCAGCCAAACAGGAGCACAAACATCTTAAGTTCCATGCTGTCTAAAGTAATTTAAAGTAAAATAAGCCACTAGAATGGATAATTCACCGAAACCGTATTTAGGAGAGAACTATAAAAATGGAGGTGGCTTCGTATAGATTCGGAGGAGAACCATCTTGGTCTGAAGTTATTTTGAAAATCAAAACTAAATTCATCAAAAGCTTTTGAGGACTTCAGTCCTTGGCATGATATGGTGGCAAAATGTTAATGGCATTATGTGGAAAAGCTTTGGACGTGGTATTAATTGTAGGTGATCTTAGATCAGGCAAAAATCACCCCGTTCATTAGCTTGAAAAAATTCCTTGTTCTGAAAAACAGAACAGAACTGTTTTTAAAGGGATGGGAAAAGGACAAACTTTTTATCTTGGCCACAGGGTGGTGCTATTGCACTTTATTTGAATTTATTTAATTTCCTACCCCCCCCCCAGGCTGTGAACTTTTCCTCTTTGCTCCCCAGAGTGTTTTCTTTTTTGATCTGCATGCAATATATTAAACACGTCTTAAACATATTAAATAAAATGATGTTTGCTGCTCTGCATAGCACCTGGTGATCAAAGGTAGACATTGCACCAAGTATGCCTCAGCATTAGGTAGGTAGGTAGGTAGGTAGATAGGCAGGCAGGCAGGCAGGCAGGCAGGCAGGCTTGTTATTTTTTACTGTGACACATTAAAAATTTTGTTGCTTGCTTTCAAAAGTATACACATACATAACACACATTTAAGCATGCTATATATTTGAAAGTCTATAACAGTAATTAAATTCAAGGTGCGGAAGATGCTTGTGGTCTACCTTGAATAAGGAAGTTTATTGCAGTTAGATACCTAGGTTACTTGGCCAAATTCAGAAATCTAACCAATTTGGAGTTAGTAAAACATAAAACGTAGACTAATAGCATAGAAAGGGGCCTTAGTGGTCTTCTAGTCCAATCTAGCTCAAGCAAGGGAGCCTCTACCATTCCGGACAAATAGCTGAGATTAGAACATATGAAGAATAGTTGCAGGAATTGGGTATGTCTAGTTTAATGAGAAGAAGGATTCTAAATATATTTTAAGAAATGCATTATATTTGGGAGCTTTGTCTGGAAAAAAAAGGCCTCATAGGCAAAACTGGACAAAAATGCAGAGACTGGAATATATATCAATGTTTAAATATAATACACACACTTGAAGCACAACATTACACTTAAAATCCTTAACAAATGGAGAAATGGAGAGAAATTGAAATTGACAGGTTTTTTTTTTCATCTGTCATTCCTGCTTTAGTGGGCATGCAATGTTCTCTGTTGTAAGACTAATTCCTACATAAATTGCCTAGGATGTTACAAAGTGTTTTCAGCAGCAGCCATTCGTATCCAATAATATAGATCAAGATGCCTTTATGGAAAATACAAGATTTAACAACTTTTAACAGGACTTAATAGACTAGGATGTTACACAGGGGTTTGGTAAGGAACACAGCATGTGGCAGCTGCTTTCAAAAGTGACATGCGTAGTAAAATAGATTCAGCTGCATTTGCAAAAATAACAATACACAGTTGGAAGGGACCTTGGAGGTCATCTAGTGCAACCCCCCCTCCCCCCCCCCGCTCAAGCAGGAGACCCTATACCATTTCAGACAGGTGCCTGTCCAGTCTTTTCTTAAAAACCTCCAGTGATGAAGGCAACTTCTGTTCTACTAGTTAATTGTCCTCACTGTTAGGAAGTTTTCTCCTTAGTTCCAGGTTGCTTCTCTCCTTGGTTAGTTTCCAACCATTGTTTCTTGTCCTGCCTTCAGGCGCTTTGGAGAATAGCTTGACTCCCTCTTTTTTGTGGCAGCCCCTCAAATATTGGGACACTGCTATCATGTCACCCCGTGGTCCTTCTCTTCATTAAACTAGACATACCCAATTCCTGCAACCCTTTCTGAGGTTGAGTTGCTTGTAATGTTACAAGGGAGTTGTGGTGGAGGTCAAAAAGGGTGGCTGATGTTTTCAGCCTCATTTCAGCATGTGCATAATAGGATAGATCCAGCTCCGTTTTATACAAGATTTAGCACCTTTACCTGGGGTGAGTAGAGAAAGATCTTTGTAGCTTATCTGTGAGCTTGTATATCAACAATTCTAATGGCATTGGGGGGGGGGTGAACATCTAACCTTCTCACAAATTCAGACGAAAAAAAAAACATCCCTGGGAAAATAGCTCAAATGTAAGGTTAATTGGAGCCAGAAATGTCAAACTAATGTAGCAATTTACCCTGGGAGAGCGCCCTGGCCTTTGGAGTATAGCAATAGTATACACTACTGAATAGAATCACAAAGAAATATAATAGGGTTTTATGTAGTCTCCTGTCATATTAACCATTCTTGGCAATTAATTTCTTGTTGCGAGGGTATTTGGTTGCCCTAGAAATAGCCTTGTTCATCCTTTACAGGTACCCACGAAGGCCAATTCAGCCGAGAAGAAATTCAACGTGCACACTTGATGTTTGTGTGTGTGTGTGTGTGTGTGTGTGTGTGGGTGGGTCATTACGTGAAGGAGATTACAGTAGGGAAGCTCTTTCTGAATTGGGGGTCCCTCTCAGAAGTACTAGGGGTACTTCAACCTGTGGGAAACAATGGAGGTGCAATGCACCAGATTCTTGTTGAATAAAAAAGAGTATGTGTAGCTCAGGGTTGGATTGTGGGATCCTTGGTGCCCTCTGAGCTTGGTGGTTTCCTTGCAGATGTTTCACTGTCTGGTTAGGTAACATCTTCAGCGCATGAAGAAGTTTACTTAGCTGGGTAATGAAATGTCTTCAAGAAAACAACCAAGCTCAGAGGGCAACTGGTTCATATTTACGAGGGTGGCGGTGTCCCAGGATCACCTGATCATCTTTTGCAACCTTCTGACAAGCAAAGTCAACGGGCAATCCCTGTGACTAACTTAAAAACTGCAGTGCCTCACTTTATAACCATGGTAAGAAAGGCCGTAAAATGTGGCAAAACTCACTTAACAAATGTTTTACTTAGCAACAGAAACGTTGGGTTCAATTATGATCATAAATCGAGGATTACCTGTATAGTTGTAAGAGTTTGGGAATGACCAGGGGTAGGCAACCTTGGCTCTTTTATGACTCATGGACTTCAACTCCCAGAATTCCTGAGCCAGCCATGTTGAGGGGAAAGGGAGAGGTTTCCAAGCTGAGCCATGCTGACTCAGGAATTCTGGGAGCTGAAGTCCACGAGTCAAAAAAGAGCCAAGGTTGCCTACCCCTGGGAATGACGCTCAAATTCTCTCTCTCTTTCCGGCCTCAGTTCCAGCTGCCTTGGATGGACATCATTTTCCATCTGTGATCACATTTGGAAGCAAAGGAGCATTTCACCCAAGCTCTGTCAACCCAGGATCTGGGGGTTCAGTTCAACCAATCTATCGGAAAAGATGCTTTTCTCCAGGAAAACTATAGGAAAAGTTTTCACGCCATTGTTACTGTCGGCTGACTGGCAAGTATTTTGGCTCAGCCTAGTGAGATGACAGGTTACTCTAGTCCTCCGAATCACCTTTCCGAATGAAGCTCCTCTTTCAAGTCAGGGATATTACCACGGCTTGAAATTAATTTGTGACAAAATGTCATATTATTATAGTGCAGCATCCCCGGGGATAAATATGGCCTTTTGTTGAGCTTTCATGGCGACACTGTATATGGGACTGCAGAGAATTGCAATGGAGGTTTTGTCTTTAGCAAATGTCATGTTACCGGAAGAGCCGAATGCTTAAGTGGCGATCGCAGAACGAGGCACTGCCGTGACGATCGAGGGGTTGTGACATTTTCCTCCCCCTCCCCAACCTCCATATCTCATCTCTAATTGCGGCGGGTGCCTTTGGGGTGACATCTGATTAAGAAAGCAACAGGGGAACTGACAGATTCCTATAAATCTGATTCATTGACTAACAAGATTGCGCTGATTTTCACAAAGAAAGCCTGCTCTCTTTTGAAACAATGGCTATCTTTAAGCTTATACAGGTAAGTTTTCCATTGATGGACCACAACTGAGTCCAAACTTTCTGCTACTAAAGTGACGCTCAGACGGGGCAGTCATCAACCAGGCTGGGCGGAGGAGATGGAAAGGTCTCTCCATCTCAGCAAGGACGAGGAGGACCGCCCAAGCATTCCAGCCAGTTGCTGGAACAGGCAATCGGCAGGTCGAAGATAGCCCTCGACTCCATGAAGCCGAATCCTTCTGAGGCACCACCCGCCTGGGATCCGGCAGGAGAGGAAATGAACACTCACTTAATAAATGTCTTGCTTAGCAGCAGTTAACAACCATGTTACTTACACCACCACCTCTTCCGAAGAGCTGAGGACTGTATATGTTGGTTGGAGAGTCATCAGCAACTCACCAGCCATGAACCCAACGTGGCCTCTGGAAACTGTTCTGTACTTGGCCCCAAATGATACGTACTAAGTTGGTATCGAGGCTTAAATAAAGGACTTTCTCCCCCAGTCTTTTCCAGTTTGAACAAATGAGATTAGGATTCCGGTTATGGGAATATAATTCATAGAATCACAGAGCTGGAGAGGATTTGGAGGCGCTAGTCCATCCCCCTGCCCAGGGCAGGAGACCTTATAGTATCCCAGATAAATGGCTGCCCAATCTTTTCTTGAAAACCTCCATAATCAGTCAGTCAATTCTTGCAGTAATGTGGTGTTTGGAAAGTGGCTTCTTGAAGATTCCCAGACCACTTTTGGCCACCATTTGGAACTTGATACCCATTTAGCTTCTGTCGTGCTCCCTTCTCACGTTCTGATGCTTGTTTGCACAACAAACTTAAGTCATTCTAAGAACCGAAGAAGCTTCTTGGATGAGAAGCAAAACCTTTTCAAAGAAAATACCAAGAACGTCCAGTTGCCTTTAGAAAAACCTTGACCTGGAAGATTAAGACGCTCTGTAGTCCTTCTAAGTAAATTTGGCCCAACTTGTTCTTCAACCACAGGCTCGGTTTTTTCCTTCTGCTTCCCGTCACAGAAGTTTTGTGGAAGTGAGATGTTTGGCAGGAAGCCTTAATGAAAGTCCCGCTCCAGTTCTGCCAGTTCTGGAGGGAGGGAGAATATAGTAGGAAGCGTGCCACTGAAGCGCTCCTCTTAATTCTGCCAGCTGACTGGCACACAGTATTTCATCCCAACTCATTTTGGCTGCGGGTAAATTCTTTGGCTCAATGGTGCGGCAATTCAAAGAGCGATGTAGTGTTGGGTTTGTGCCAAGTTCTTGCCTTTCTAGCTGAAGTTATCAGTAGGGGGAAAATGCCTTTTTAATTCAAGAGAAACCGACCTACTTTATTTCAGTCAATAACCAGCACATAGCAAGGTATGTGATAAAATAAAGCAAAAGTGGTACAGAATAACACCAACCCTCTGCTCAAGCAGAGACCTTATACTATTCCAGACAATCTGTCCAATCTCTTCTTCAAAACCTCCAGTGATGGAGCACCCACAACTTCTGAAGGCAACTTCTGTTCCACTGATTCGTTGTTCTTACATTGAGAACAATTAACCAGTAGAAGGGCTTGCCTTCAGAAGTTGTGGGTGCTCCATCACTGGAGGCTTTTGAGAAGTGACTGGATAACTACTTGTCTGGAATGGTATAGGGTCTCCTGCTTGTGCAGGGGGTTGGACTAGAAAACCTCCAAGGTCCCTTTCAACTCTGTTATTCCATTATTCTGTTGTCCAACTTGGGGGCTCACTCAGATCTTTGGACTGGGAGTGTTCAGCCATGGCCAAGCAGGTTGTGGGAATGGAAGTCCCAACATCTGGAGAGGACCCCATTTGAGAAAGGCTGTCCTTTATCCATCTTAAGTGCATTCATTCACTCACTCACTCACTCACTCATTCAATTTCTAAATATGTCAGCCATCCTAAAACTATAAAATAGTTAAACTATAGAACAATTAAAACATCCAAAGAATAAACCCACCCAGCAGCCGAGATAGTTAACCAACTAGCAAAAAG